CCATTGTTGAAAAGATTAATATCTTACTGAAGTTTTGTGACCACTGATATGTGAATTTACTCTGTACTTTTTTTTTTTTTTTTTGAGGAAAGGGTTTCTCTGTGTAGGCCTTGCTGTCTTGGGACTTGCTCTGTAGAGCAGAGATCCACCTGCCTCCATCTCCTGAGAGCCGGGATTAAAGGTATGTGCCATCACTTACGTTCAGCAATTCTGTACTTTAAATTTTATCCATTTCTTTGTTATATATTCCCATGATAAAATAGTTCCAAACTGTCTAAATAACTGTTAATTTATAGTAAAATTTGAAAGGAGATATGTCAATTTGATTTTTCAAGTTTTACTTTTTGCTACTCAGTGTTTCTCAAGTTTCCATATGACTTTTTGGATCAATATGTCAAGTTTTACAAAGCAATTAGATGGTATTCTAAAGAGAATTGAGTTTTGTTCTAGTTTGCTTTCTGCTGCAGTGATAACACACCCTGACTTAAAGCAACGTAGTTGAAGAAAAGGGTTACTTAGCTTATGTTCCAGATTCTAGTCTACCACTTCCACACTGAGAGCACAGAGGAACGAACACATAGATGCTACTTATTTTCTAGGTTGCTCACGCTCAGCTAGCGTTATACTTACACAGCCCAGAATCACCTGCCCAGAGAATGGTGCCACCCATAGTGGGTTGGATCTTCCCACATCAACCAGTAGTCAAACAATTCCTACAGAGATGTCAACTATCTAGGTAATTCCTCAATTGAGGCTCTCTTATTCTCTGATGCTACTTTAAGTGTAATTAAGTTCATTTTTTCCTGGTGTTCATTATTCACAGTATAGAAACACAAGTGATTTCTGTATATTGTCTTTGTATTTTGCAGCCATGGTTTAAGTTTTTTAGATTATGTCTTTATTCACTGAGAATTTCATACAATATCCATATTCCTTCCCTTTCTCCAATTCCCCCACTCCCTATATACTCAATTTCATATTCTTTTCTTAAAAACAAAAACATCCCCCACCCCCCAAATACACGGAGGTTTCCTGACTCAGCATAATAGCAAAAGTCCACATGGCTTTTAAGAAGCTCTGCTAACAATTCAATGGTGTGTATGAGCAGCTGGTTTAAAAAAAAAGAAAAAAGAAAAAAATAGAGAGTAGCTGGGGCATTGGTGACACATGCCTTTAATTCCAGCACTCGGGAGGCAGAGGCAAGCGGATCTTTGTGATTTCATAGCAAACCTGGTGTACAGAGTGAATTCCAGGGCAGCCAAAGTTACACAGAGAAACCCTGTCTCAAAAAGTGAAAAAATAAAAGTAAAAGAAATAGAGTAATAAAAAAGCCACGTGAAGATGGAAAGCACACAGAGAGTCTGGATACTGTATGCTATGGTGTTGTCTTTGAGTTGCTCAATTGCTAAGGAAGAAATAATTGCTACAATACACTTGATTATCAATGCTGCTAAATTAATCCAATTTATACATTTTAAAAGTGCTTTGACTCCAAAATTTAAGTCTAAGGACAAGTTACTGGGGAAAAGGATTTCTATTTTTGTTTCCACAGAAAATGAAAAGCTTCCAGACTAACATGGTTTGGTCAATCAAAACCCCCTAAAACAGATGATCCAACATTCAAAACAGCTGGGATAATGCAGCCTTGCAGCCCACTACAGCCAAGATTTCTGTGTCTTCTAAGGATCCCCAAGACTGCGGTCCCTACCAGCAGGAAGCAGTTTATAAAGAACGATGTCCAAATTTCCAAATATTGTTTATAAATGTTTGTTTTCATTTAAATGGGGTTGGTTATAAATGGTTAATGACCACAACCAATTCTCTTTTTAAAGGCAAAAAGTGGATTATGCTATAGAAATGATTACTTTGTTTTGGAAGGACTTTCATTTATTGATACAATTTAAGGTCAATTTTGTGATATGTGTATTTCTCCTCTTGTTTAGGTATTGTGTTTATATAGCACATTTAAAAATGTAATGTATAATTAACTAAAGATTACAGATAGTTACCTGTAATAATCAAAACTTATAGTTAGATGAAGTTAGGTTTTCAAGATATATAGGGATTCATTTGAGGTAAATAGGCATTCTTCAAACCTTTAAAAGACCTACAGAATATGGCATTTAAAACGGTTTAGGGTTTTTCTTGACAGTGAGGCACAACTGCTCCTGGCAACACCACTTGCATTAGAAAGGAAGATGGACATTGAAGAAACTCACTGTGAAGGTTACTTCCAACATGGCAAGACTAGCCATTTGGACGAGATGCTGCTCATGTCTACACTGTCTGATTTTATGCTGTATAAACTGGACATAGAGGACCCATAGGAAAGTGACTGCTGATTCAAGATGGACATTGCTGCAGGGTTCCTGCTTCATGGAAGAGTCTGCCAGACATTCTACAGGACACAGAAAAAAGTGACTGACAAACAGCCAATACAGGTGGACAGTTTAAAGTTCCCTGCTTTGCTGAGGAGTCTGCCAGACACACTATGGCCTATAGCCTAAAGATGGAACATTACAGAAGAACTTTGGGTGACTGACCAGGAGAGTTGTCTCTGTCACTTCTAGAGTTTATATATTATCCTTCTGTGGTCTTTGATGGAGTTGAAGACAGATAGTTATGGTCATAGTTTTCCTTAGGATTAAAGAGAAGTTACATATATGACTTTAGACTCACAAAGATAGGATAGATAAAATATTTTCTTTAAATCTTGCTAAATGTTAATGGACTAAATAGTGTTATCTGTAGTTCTTATTTGGTAACTGTTTTGCTATATATTTTACTATGTTAAAGTTAAAACCCATCTTTTTATTTTAGACAGAAAAGAGGATATGATGGGAGATGTCATTCTGTAAATATGTTAATGAATAAAGCACTGTTGGCCAATAGGAAAGCAAGATAGGCGGGACTAGGAGACAAGGAGGATTCAAGGAGGAGGTAGGAGTGTAGGACCAAGAGAGCAGAACTCTGGACCATCTCTCCGGTAAGCCAAGACCACGTGGAAATACTTAGATCGATAGAAATGGGTTAATATTTAAGACAGTGCTAGCCAATAAGAAACACTAGTAACAGGCCAACAGCTTTATATATAATACAGAATCTCTGTGTGTTATTTGGGGTTGGCGTGCCTGTGGGTCCAGGCTGGTGGGAAAACATGCTCGTAACAAGTAACCATGAATTCTTAATGTATTTCTAGACCTATAATTTAGAAATTGGGGGGAAATCTGGCTTTCTTCTCTATAAGCAAAACCACTATTCTTTTTGCTTCTCTATGTCAGCTATCTGTTGACTGCCTGTCTTGCTATAATACCTGTCTATCTAAAATCAGATAATATAAGAGGAAAATGTAGTTTTTAAAAACTGCTTTTCACAGTGCAGAGGATTACTCCACAGCCTCTGCCTGCCAAGTGCTGGGATTAAAGGTGTATGCTACCACAGCTACCTGAACTGCTTGCTGGATGGCAATGTAATGTTTAATCCCAGCACTGGGGAGATAGAAGCAGGCAGATGCTGTGGAGTAATCCTCTGTGCACTGTGAAAATGTGTTGCTCTCATCGTTAATAAAAAGCAGATTGGCCAATAGCTAGGCAGGATTCGGGGGGACAGAGAGAACACTGGGAAGAACAATGGGGGAGCATGAAGAGTCTCAAGCCAGGTGCAGAAGAACAACATGGGAATTTTATACATGAAGTAAATGAGCCCTGGGGCAGCACATAGATTAATAGAAGTGGGTTAATTTAAGGTGTAAGAGCTCGCTGGAGACAAGCCTAAGCTATCAGCTGAGCATTTATAATCAGTAGTTAGAGTGGTTATTTGGGAGCTGCTGCTGGGACACAGGAAAACTCCACCTAGAGGCAGATCACCAAGTTCTGAGTTTGAGGCCATCCTGGTTTATAGAGCGAGTTCCAAGATGGCCAGGACTACACAAAGAAAATCTGTATTGAAAAAATAAAAACAAAAAACAAAACAAATAAACACCCTCCAACAAGAAATCCTTCTGCGAGGCATTTAACTTCAGTAGGCACTGTAGCAAGTACAAAGATCTTTTCATTTTATCCACTCACAGTTCTTTTATTAGAGTTCTATATGATAATAAGCATATGTGGATTCTGCATTCAACAACAAGAAATCAGCTGTGGGAAAGTGCAGAGCAATGAGGATTTCGACTATCTTTATCCCACTGTCTTTAATGATGGACATTAAGTCTAGGAGCTCTTTCTAGGATAGCAGAGAGTGAATTTGGGAATGCACACATAAAAAACAAACAAAAACTCATTGTAAACAAGTCTTCTACAGTCCATCTACATCTACTGAAGAAACAAGAAGGCAAAGACAAGGGGTTGAAGGGTTAGACAGTCAAAGAGGAACAGAAGTGCAGTGAGAGGGGACAAGCATCAGCAAAGACACAAAGAAGGAAAGACGGGGTCAGGACGACAGAAAGCCAGGGGACTGCACTTTGTGAGTTCTATGACACTGTATGACACTGGCATAGGCCCAGCATGTCTGACCACAGTCACATCTTTTGGAATTGTTCAGAGATGGTGTAAACTTGGCATTTTTGTTTACTTGAAACAGGACCTGGTAATAGACAGCCCAGGGTGGCCTTGAACTTGCAATCCTCTGCTTCAGCCTCCTGTGTGCTGGAAAGACAGGTATGTACCACCATGTCCTGTTCTAACGGACATTTTAAATGCTCTAAGCACAGTGAAATGTGAATAGTCTGAACTGAGATATCCGTAAGTATAAAATACATACCAGACTTGGATGACTTTGTACAAAAATAAAGTGAAATATGTTTGATATACTTTGAATAGGCTATATTTTAAAATTAATTCCACTTTTCAACCTGTATATCTAGTAGGAAATTTTTATTTAATCACATGACTTATGTTATACTTCTGGAATGCAGTTGTCACATCATTAGTCTCCTCATTGACATCAAGATTGATAAAGTAAGTCTGCTAATGTCTGAATTCCCCAAACTTCTAAAAACATACCAATATGCTGGACTTTTTCATCAATGACCTCACAGTGGTATGGCCACCGTGTTGGGCTCAGTGGTCCAGAAGAAGAGACACCATATAAATCCCGTGGTTCACGAAGGCGTGGCACCCATCTCCCTAGATGATACTCCAATAAAATTTGTGTAGTTCGAGGGAAGAATGGGTCACCAATAGAGTCAGCTGAAAAAAGATTAAAATATAATCACAAGTGACCACACGAAAATCCCCAATTCCTGTGTGCTTTGCTTCTTTTCCTTTTAATCTACTTAATTTATGCATATTTATAGATATCATTTTAACTATTTAATAACTTATAAAATTTTAAATATCTAAGTGAAATTTTGTGACAGAGTTGATCTTCAGAGTAGCTAAAAAGTTTGTCAATCTATGTAGTAGTATTTTATTATGACTTCTTATCAATACTTTAAAAATGTCTTTTTCTCTCAGCTTCCCTAGCAGATCATGTAGGTTTGACTTTTAAATGTATGTGTGCAAGAGCCTGTGAGCCCAGAGGACAACCTTTGTTTCAGTGTCATCCTCAAGAACACTGTCCACCTCCATTGAGACAGAGTCTCTCACTGGCCCAGAGCCCACCTATTAGGCTGTACAGGCTCTCCAGTGAGCCCGTCTCATAGATTCCCTCCATTGACATGATTACAAGAGCAAACCACCATGCCATACATCATTGTTTAGAATTTATGTTCACATGTTTGTGAGGCAAGTACTTTACTGAATGATCTATTTCTGGAAGCCCTATATTTGACTTCTTCACCATACTAATTGTCCATGAGTTAAATATAGGCACTAACTATAACTTCATCATTTACTGGAACTGTATTCCTAAAGATTGCTAGTATTCTCTTAGTCACAAGCTTTTCACTGTGTGATCCGATCTCAGGAGTGTGGTTCATACGGTTATCATGGGCCGACCCTCAGCAGACAGGGCAGTGGCCATTTTTCTGTCAGTGTGTAATTGCATGCCATCAGTCTGATGTGAAATGCCTTCTGTGTTTATTTCCCTTCTTTTATATGACTACAAAACTTATGAACTAATCTCTAGGGACTTTCCACTAGGATCTAAGTAATTCTCAGTTCCATTCTAAAATCTTTTCTTTGCCTTGCTTATGCACTCATTCTTTAAGTCTTCCCTTCATGTGAGGCTTAGGTGGTATTTCCAAACCCTTTCCGGTTTTATGCATCCAATTTGTGGACTGTTGTTGCTCAAATCATCTCTTAAATGTGTCAGTTACATTTCAATAGGCTTTATCCAAATCAGATCACGTTAAGCATATGACTTCAACTTTGTAAAATATGTATCATGTTAAGTATCTACACTGGTCCTTTAGAATTTTTTTTTGATATGGCTATCAGAATTCATTTGTGGCTCTTTACTAATTATATCTTCACTTATAAAAGCCTTTCTTAGAGTGCATAGTACAATATATAGCTTGAACATAATGTGATGAGGTTTATTCAATAATTTTCCTATTTTTGGATATTCAGATTGTTCCTAACGTTTGACTCAACTGTCTTAACACATACCAAAATATCACATTTAAAGCTGTAATTTACAACATTATCAGTGACTCATGATTCCAGGGATGGAAAAATGGGATTTAGTACATGATAACACTAATATGTCTAATGTATGGTACAGGCAACATTTCAAATCAGTGATAAAAATCAACAAATTTCAATAAATAATGCCACAGATTACAAAATGACATTGCATCTATTTAGGAATTAGAAAATAAAACTTACTCATGTGAGAAACTAAATATCAAAATTCAGATTACCACAGACAAGTACTTAAGATTTTTTTGATGAGTATACTCATGGCCTTAGGGTAGGGAAGGTGTTTGCAATTTGAATAATATAAAACTAAAGAACCATATATGAATACTGATAAAGCAGCCACACCAAAATAATTCTAAATGATGGAAGCAACACAAGCAAAAATCAAAGAATTACCATGAGTGGGCAATTCATAAAAACGAATATAAATAAATAATAAGCCTGTAAAATAATTTTCAATTTCTCTAATAATATACCAGTTAAAACAAGGAATCACATCCTATCTTCCATTAGACGGCAAAGCTAAAAAAATAAAATAGGTATATAAACAAACACATATCTATACTATATATACACATATACTATATATGTATGTACATAACACATATACACTTATAAAGAGAAAAATCTAGAAAGATGCATACTATGCTGGTTGGCTTTTGTCAACATAAACCTAGACATATTTGGGAAGACAACACTGGTAAGTAGGCATTTTCTTGATTAGTGATCGGTGTGAGAGAGCCCAGCTTACTGGTGGGATCGCCATAACTGAGCAAGTGGTCCTGGATGGTAGAAGCAAGCTCAGTGAGCCAGTAAGCAGCAGGTCTCCATGGCTTCTGCTCTGGTTATTGCCTCTAGCTCAGTTCCTCCCTGACTTACTTCCCTTAGTGATGGAGTGTGACCTGAGAGTACTAAGATGAAATACACCCTTTCCTTCCCAAGCTGTTTTTGGTCATGGTATTGTCACAGCAACAGAAACTCTAGCAATGACACTACCAACTTAAGGAGAGTAATACCATGAAAGTGAAGCTTTGTTTTAGGATGGGCTAAAAGACAAGTAAAAAGGCTTTAACATCTATATTAGACTGTGTTAGAAATTTAAATATTTATTGAAAATATTTTAGAATTTGACAGTACAACTGAAAATGTATACATTTAAAAAAATTAGTATACACCAAGATGCCTATACATATAATTGCAAATGAATAACCTTATTTAAAAAGCTACTTATACAACTAACTATACATACATACATACATACATATATCCAATCCATTATGTTTGTTTTATCTGGTTTATTCTAATAAAATGAAAAGTTAACTCCATACAGTCCTTCACAAAGTAACCACTGCTTTCATTTAATCTCATTCACAACTTTCTCATATAAGCCACGTTTACTTAAAATTGTCCTGAAAAGTTTAAACTCCAAAGTTTCTTCCTCCCTACCTACCAGAATAATCATTGCTTCACTAAATCTGAATTTTTTTTCAGTTTCCTTATCCTCCTTTTTTACCCACTCAAAGTTTCATGATAAAGGAGAAGACATATAGATGAATTCAAACCTGTTAGTAGTGTACACCGATGAATATCATCACTTACAAATTTCATGAATGTGTCCTCATCCTGAAAACAAAAGAATTTTAAAATTTAAGAACCAGTAATATTAAAATCCAGAGTTTTGTTTAACATCTTTTTAAGTACATGGGAATGTCTTAGATGGAGTAAAGTTTAATAATGGAACACTTGGGGAAACAACTGGAGAATGAGAACACAAAAAACACAGAACGCTCCAGACTTCGAGAACTACATATCATTTTGGAGAAATTTTGGGGCTTTAAACATATAATTTATACTTTTAAAAGGAACTCTCCTAGAGCAGGTTGTAGGAGCAGACACAATAATTTCAAATACCATAGTCCTCCTCCCCCTCCTTTTTTTCTATTTTAAAGAAAATGTTTTTAATTGAAATAGAATTAGATCATTTTACCTGCTTCCTCCCTCCAACCCTTCCCATTCCCCTTTTCAATTTCAAATTGATAACGCTTTTCAAGAAAGGATAATTATTTTTATTTCTTTCTAGATAGGCTATATTACATAACTTTTATTTATTTATTTATATTACATAACTTTTTAAGTCAAGTTATTTTCTAACTTCCATGACAATGACCTCATCATTTTATTTTGATGTCACCTTAATTCTACAATGTTTTAATTGGGGAAATAGGCTTTATAATAATTTTATCTCAAATTATGTAAACTAAAAGACATACTGATTCATCATCATCACTGATACTTCTGTCTGAGTAGTCTTCCTCCTCTGAATCTTCTGACATCTCTCCCAGTGTCTGCTTTGAACTTTCGTTTATTATGAAGGCAGGTTGCAGAAGTCCTCAGGAAATTATTGGACAGCTTTTCTTTTAAGCCTAGGTAAGTCTTTTAAGCCTAGGTAAGTATGTTCTATATTAGATGAATCCTCCAAAACACATCCAATTGTATTTAATTGATGTGGCAGATCTCTAAAAACTAAATTAATAAGGATACAGGAAATTAATTACAATTTCAAAGATTTGAAAAAACTGTTCACTAATAAAATAAAGACAGGCCCTCTAAATGGTTACCCAATACCAAATGGTCAGTCTTATAAATATACACATACAAGAAATATTCCACAGGCTGCTGCAGGTTCCATTTATACATTTATTTGCACACACAAACATAAAAATGCTAATAATAAGAGGATGTGAATCTGAGTGTTGGGAGGGGGGAATAAATGTATTTTAATTAAATAAAAAATTAAAATGAAGACACAAATATGAGTGTACAGGGAATGGGGAGATGAATCTGGGAGATGGAGGGGGACAACTAAATTTATAACCTGTTAGTATGTTTTATGAACAAAAATAAAAGTGAAAAAGTCTGTTGAAGACCAAACATGTAAATAATTTAGTTGAAAAACTTCCATGGCACAAAGCCAAACTATGTACACTTTATACTTATAATTAAACACTGCACAGATAGTAAATTCAGGATTACCCTCGGGCATTAAAAATCAGGCAGCAAGAAAAGGCATTATTTATAAAGGCAATAAAATGTAGAATAGTAAAAAAAAAAAAAATTTCCCCTTCCTCCACTTTCAAGTGACCCAAAAGTTTTCGTCTACAACTTGAGTTTCTCTTTAACCCAGATCATTTCCGTATGTTAATCACACCGTTAGCACTGATGTACCAGAGGGTTCTGTTGTTCGGTGACCACTGCAGCTTCTACGCAAACCTGCTCGCAAGCCACGAAATGACCGGGGGGAAAAAAAAAATCCTCGCCAAGATTTTACACTTCGGACGCTACCAAAGGAATTTACCAACTCCACAACTCCTGGCTTAAGGTTACCTATCAATAAATAAACAAACAAACAAGCAAATAAGCAACCCAAGAGTGTAGGAGCGGGGGCTGCACGCAACCCCACGCCCCTCGGTTGATGGAGGTCACAGAAGGGCACGTCTGGGGGCGGGGGTGGGGAGCTGAGTGCACGGAAGGGCTCGCCAGCTTCATCACAAACCCCACCAGCGACCGAGGAGGCTGCGTCCAGATGACATGTCAGGGCGGAGCCCCAGCCCCGGATGACAGCTCGAAATGGGGGCGACCCGCCAGGCGCGGGCCGGCTCCTTACGTGCACGGCCGAGGCGGGCTGGCGCTGGGGGCCGCGCACGAGGGGCCGCGGGGCCGCGCCGCCTCCGCACTCACTCCAAGCCCGCGCCGCCCCGCGCCCACGGGCGCATCGCGCGCGCTCCCCTGCCTGCGCGGCGCCTCCGCCGCCCGCCTCGCCCGCTCGGCCTCCTCACGCCAGCCAGGACGCGCCGCCCTCGCCGGGAGAGCGCTTCAGGACGTCCCGCAGACACCCGCCCGCTACAGAGCCCGAGGAAACTCCATCGTAACTCGGCGGCCGCAGCCACGCCCTCCATGGAGAGAGCGGGCCGCTCGTTGCCGGGGCAACGGCTGTCCTCTCGCGAGACTCCGGGCAGCGTTGGCGATTTACCCTAGCGACTGCAGCGGAGGGACGGCCCACGGGCTTTTGGCGGGAGAGGGACGCCAGGGGCTGATGGGAACTGTGGGCGTGGCTTCGCGGATAGAAGGAAGAAGGGTGGGACGGACTGCTAATTTGTTCAGACTGACCGCAAATTGTTTGCCAGGTCCGAGCGCAGGGAAGGCAGGAGAACTTACTGTTGACCGGGGCCGAGTTACTTTCATGGACTAAACTTTCTACATCCGTAAAAAAGAATGCAGTGATTGTACTTGGAGTCAAACGGTTGGGTTCCATTCTGCACAACTGTAGCCTAGTCGTTACTCTGGAAATGAGACTTTAGATACTTGATTTGGAAGAGTCATGGTTACATGAGGACAGACTCTCAAGAAGTCTCATTAGATTAGACATTTCCTTGTTAGCCAACATTTTACACACACACACACACAAAATCTTTTAAACCTTATTTAAGTCAATAAGATACCCCCCTTTAACAGACTTAGGAATTTTTTGTGTACATCATATCCTGATTTATTATTGGCCATCTTTAACTTTGGTGGACAATACAGTTGAAATAGTTTTCCAAGTTAAGAAAAAAAACAACGTAAAGATAAAGAATGAATATGTGTTTGGTGCCCTCGTGGGCCAGATTATATATATGATCTGGGACTTGTGATAGTGTGGGAACAGGGACCACAGGCTCGCAAAGTAAAATAAGGGCGAAGAACTTTGGTTTAAGTGTGAAATTTGGTTAGTATCTCTAGATTTGATAAGTTTCTGTAAATCTGTTTGAGTCTGCAAGCTTGGGACTTACGTTTTTTGTATTTTTTTTTTTTTTTTTTTTGGACATTGGCCTGAGGAAATAAAGTCTACTGTAGGTCATGATGGTTTGAAAATTAGTTAGTTGTGCTTGGTGTTATGCTGTGCTCAGAGAACCTTTGCTATGTTTTGAGCGTATCTGCCAAGGTCCAGGTGCTGAAATTAAGTTGCCATCGTGAAACTGTAAGGACAGAGTTTAACACTACCTTGTGTTTTCATGTGGGACCATTCAGAGGTTAGTAAGATGAAACCATCAAGGTGGAATCCTCATAATTAATACTTAGTGGCTTCATAAGAGACGAGGGAGACATGTTCCCTGTTTCTGGGCTCTGCTGGTAAGACCATTACCAAACGTGTTCCCTTGACCTGTGTCTCTAGGACCACAGCCAAACTAGACCCCTTTAAACTTACTTGGCCAATGGTACTGTGCTAATAGAAACAGTAAGTGGAGCAATACTTTTGTACATTGTAAAGAGTTGTCACTTAAATTGACTTAATAAAACGCTGATTGGTCAGTAGCCAAGCAGGAAGTTTAGGTGGGGCCACCGAACTAAGGATGACCCGAAAGGAAGAGGGGAGTCATAGGAGTTGCTGGCAGGCACAGAGGGAGCCGTGCTAATGAAGGTACCGCCAGGTGGCAGAGCATAAATAAGGAATATGGGTCACTTTAAGTGTGAGAGTTAGCTAGTACCAAGCCTGAGCTATTGGCTGGGCATTTATAGTTAATGTAAGCCTCAGAGTGGTTATTTGGAAGCAGCTGCTGGGATGCAAAAACTCCACTTACATTATATATGGAATCTATTTTTTTTTTTCTTCCTGTTGGTCTTCAGTCATGGATAAAGGCCATAGGCTCTCAGGTTCATAAGATAAGCTCTGAGAAACAACCTAGCCAGGTATGGAAGAGGCAAAAATGGGAATGTATATTCCCAAATGTGCACATGAGGAATCTAGGAGAATGTGAGTGATTAAGAGAGAATTAGAATTTCAGCAAAAAAAATCTGAAAATCACTTTCATCGTGCATCCGAGCTTCCTGGTTAGTTCACACGGCAGGCTGTGGGCATTACAAAGGCTGTTGCAGGGGGCAGCACAGTTTCCATGGGAGATTCTGTTCTAATGGGAAAAGGCCAGACAAAACAACAGAACCATGCAGAGGAAAATTGCTATGAAGAGCAGTAAAGAGCTTAGCAAGGTGAGCAGCTTGGCAGGGCGCTAGGGAAGTCCTCTGCCCAGGTGATGTTTGCATGGGAGAGCAAACCACGCGGGTGACTGGAGAAGACCTGGCTGAGGTGGGAAAAGCAAGTACAAAGGCCACCAGGGAAGTGCTGCCTGGAGCTAGTGTCCTTTTAAAGAGACGCCATCGGGATTTTCCTCTCCTCCAGGTAAATCTAAAATAGCTTTTGAAGCACCTGCTTTAAATGTTAAAAAACAAACAAACAAACACTGAGCTTTAAAATTACTTGTGTTGCATTTATTTGGGGGAGGGGGAGACATGCATGGTACAGTTCATGTGTGGAGGTCAGAGGACATTTTGCAAGAGTCTGTCCTCTCTTTCTTTCATGTGGGACCTGGGAAGCGGCTCAGGTTGTTGGGCTTGATGGTAAGGGCCTTTCCCCACTGAACCATCTCCCAGTTTGACATTTTTAATTTAAAAATTGCTTTTTAAAGTTTGTTTTCAGACAATAGCACATACTGGAAATTAAATTCCCCGCTGTTAAATTAAAAGGAAAATAAGGCCTGGAATAAACTCAAAGACTTAACTGAGTTTTGTTTCCTTCTCTGTGATCTCAACATTGATAGTTACTGAACATACTCATAGCCAGTATGCAGTAATTTTCTCTCTTCTACTTTTGTATGGCAGTAGGACTTACAATATTAAAAAAAAAAGAATAAGAAAACTAAAGCTGTATTACCAAAAAGGCACAATCACCAACATGAACTTCAGGAGGAAAATTCATATAGTAAAATGGCAAAATGTAAGTTGTGTTAGGAATATAACTGATCTTGAATACTTTATCATTTAGAATTTATTAAACAGAGATCTATAGAGCACTCATTCTTTATGACATCATAGAAGTTAGGTATCATGGGGATTTAGAGGTCTTTTTACACGGTTTATTTGATGAAGCCATTCTAGGATTGGGGATCCAGAGGCTGGCCAGAATGCAGCCAGAGCTGCAGAGGCTGCACCTTCCTGCACTGTCTTGCTTTAGGATGACCCACTCAAGGGTCAAACCTCCCAAAGTGTTCCCAAGCTCAGATCTTGAGGTCTGTCCCACTCAGCAGCTAACCAAGATTCAACTCAAGGGTCATCCCATAAAGTTGCCTTCATTTCTTTCTTCTCTTTTTCCTTCAAGATTCTTGTCTCTTGTTGGTTGGTTTGGGATTAAGACATCCTGGGGCCAAGAAGACAAAGGTTTCTTTACCTGGTCAACTTACTGTCTACATGTTTGTTTGGTCTCACACATCTGTGAACTTCATGAGGAGAGCAACTTCTTTAGCCCTCCTCTCCCCATCCACGCTCTCTTCCAAGTACAGTTATGGGCAATACTCTCTTGTGACCGACTGGGGAGTGTAGTAATGAAGAGTGTGGGTTTAGGCATCTATTAGAGGCGGTTAGCTATTTCGTGACTTAACAGCTCCCTGGCTGTTGGCAAGTTTTAAAGTTCTTTATGTGTCAATTAATTTACTTGCAAAATGAGATAGTAGAGTAGTACCTCTCTTGTAGGATTACTGGGAGGCTTAAAAGGGTGAAGACTGAGTCAAGTTCTGAGCAATTACTTGTATTTCACTCATGTAATGTGAGGCACAGGTTCCAGCCATTTCTCTCTTCTGGCATAACACACACACGGTGGCTTGCAAGGTATCCCCACACAACCAGGAGCATTAATGGTATTTGATTTTTTTTTTTTTTTTTTTTTTTTTTTTTTTGATGTAAACTCTCAAGTTCCACCCCAGGCCCTGAGGTGGATAGCCTGTTTCCAGAAGTCTAGCAGGTGAACCGGTTATAACCTCCATTTTGAAAGCCATTGGCCCAGCATCAGGTTAGGTATAGACTCTGAAGCTACAGTTCCTAGTTGGATGGTCTGAAATAAGTCCTTTCACCTTTCTATGCCACAGCTCCCTTGTAAACGGGAATACAATGTCACCTACCTAATAGTGTTATGAGCATTAAGTGTTGGTCCTAGGGAGCACCCTCATTTGCCCCCACAATGCTTGAAGCACACATTCTCACACAGACCCAAGTAGGTGGGGAGAGGAGGAGGCCGGCGGGAGAGGGAAGAAGAGCTGGCATCTCAAAGAAAGGTCTGGAAACAGCAGTCACCACAGCGTAAGAGTCATTTGAAATGCAGATTCCCAGGTGCCTGCCCAGCCCGATTAAATGAGGTGCTTATTTTACAAAACATATTGTGTGGGAAAATTCTGCTATTAAATCTGAAATGGACTGAGGTAAGTGGCCAGTATTATCTGTGGAGCTGAGATTGGATGAACTGACACACAAAAGGATAAAGTTGGCAGCAGGACGAGGAATCCCACCCACGCCTCTTCCTGCCTCCAGCCTCCAGAGTACCCCACGTCACAAGCATGTGCTGCCGCCCCTAGCCTTTACTTTCATTCTGAAGGAGAATTTTTAAAATGTTCTGTCAGTCGTCCACCCCAGGGCACTTTTGAACGTTTGGTTAGAAAATTTCCTGTAGTAAGAAGTTCTTTCAATCTGAAATGTGCCACGCACGCTAACAACTGTAATCTCAGCACTTGAGAGGTGGAGGCAGGAGGGCCAGCAGTCCAAGGACACTCATGGCTTCATAATGAGTTCCAGGACAGCCTGGGCTACATGAGATCCTGTCTCACAGTGTCGAGGCACCCTCTTTGTTATAGACACATTTCTCACAATCAATAGAGCACAGAAACATGCATGAGGCAGAGAGATTTGGAAGAATTCCATTTATTGTGGATGCATTTTCACAATATATTTTTATTGCAGCGATCAATCATCAGTGAAAAATACCAAGTGTTTATAATGTTTTTAACAATGGCAGATTCACAGAACACGCTAGTCAACGTGCAGTTTCCTCTCTTAAAAAATAACAGAGAGCTGTAATTGAACAAGTAAATGAGGAATTTGCTTTCTCAAAGATTAAATCGAAGCAGAACAAAATTCTACCCTAAAACTCATGTCATCCAAATATTGGAATAAAATTTAGGATCAAAACATTCTTTTCACAACCTTGAACTTTCCTAAAAGCAACAAGAAACAAAAAGCCTATGTAACAGCTGTCACGAGAAGGCCTTTGTTCAAAGCTCTAACAGCTGTGTTCCCTTACCATCAGCGTTTAATCCATTTTATTCCAACGATGGAAGTCATTTCCATGGTGCACCATGTGCATTCTAGTTTATCTTATCATAGACTTTTGTCTACTCTGTCATGGATAGATGACTTGTGTAGTCATAGTGGCTTTCCTTCCTTTGGCCCAAGTTTGCTAAAAGCTAGGGAATCCAACTATCTCTTACTAATTCATGAGAAAAATAGACTTTTCAAGGCAATGGTTACCCCTCAAACCTCTTGAAGGGAAATATGTGGATTAGAAATAGTTATTTTTGGAGGCTCTCCCAGTGCAGAAGGAATGGAGACTAAGATAATTTTGGTTAAGTCAGCTGAGGTATGAGTTTGTACAGTGACACTGTACACATAGGATGTTTTATATAGGAACATATTGTAAGATGTACGTATAGAATGTTCTATATAGGAACATTTCTGTAAGATGCTGGAATACTTTTCATCATCTACTGGGAAGAATGAAGACTTAAGCGAATATAGGCTCTGATGTCATGGAGTCCCTAGAGACCCCTGAGGGGGAAAGTAAAACTATTAAGATTTACATATGTTTTTGAAATTTCAAGATACTATCAACTCAGGACAGTACCAAGTGACTAATAAAGACAGAAAATTTAATTTAAAAAGTCTGAACACATAAGATAGAAGCCCTGCCATGCCTTTGCTCACTTTACCTGTCTGCTTCTATATGAGGCAAAGTTGGTTTAGGCATCTACACGAATTCTAATTTGTGCAATACTGTCACCAAAATGCCTGGCTTTAAGTGGTAGAGAAAGAAGACACCTTAGATATCATGTAGGTCAACTTTTCGGGAGGAACTTCACTGTTACACATAAGTAGGCTTTGAGCTTGGTCCAGACGGTAGACTTAATAAAATTCACACTGGACTTCAAGACTGCCTTCAATTATAAACTAAATACTATGTCTTATAAGAAATTTCAACTAATTTGTAATCTCTTTTATTCCAATACTTTTTTTTCTTACAAGTCATTGGGCATTGAAAACATAGCTATAACTAACTTCCATGATTCTACTGGCAAATATGAAATATTAATATAATATTGTGATTTTTAAATTTCAAAAGCTGTGATATTGGTTAGTTACAAGGACATACTACTAAATATAATAGTCTAGCACATGAAAGAGCAGCCTACCATTAGTGTGTCTGTATACATGTATGCACATACATTACATACTTGTGTTATCTAAATGTGGTTCAGGCTACTATCACTACCAAAGAAATCCACAAAGCAATCAACCTGAAAAAGAATCAGTACCACTATCAGCTAAAATAATCATCCAATTTAGGTATATGAAATCAGCACATAAAAAAGCAGTATCTCAACAGTACATCTTCTTTAAAAAAAAAAAAATACAACCATTATTGCCCTAGATCAGATCTGAAATGGATTACTTTCATATAGTTCCAATTGCCTACTTAGATAATTTCTTCCATGCTTTACTCTAAAGTGCAGAAACATGATGTCGTTATGGAAACAAAACCAAACCTATGGTTCACCTCCTCCCCCTCCCCCCAAATGCTGCATACATTCCTCAGTTAATCTTAACCTCAAATTCCTTTTGTTGACTTCCAATGTAGTTGGTGTCACTGTTCAGACGACAGTAGACAGTAGTGAGTCTATTTCACAGCATGGGTTTGTTTAGAAACAGGCTCCTTTGCAAAGGCAGTACTTTGACCATGAACATCTCTAGTTGTGATTATTAAATATAGTGTGCATATACATGGATTTACTGGGATATTGGAAAATTAGAAAAAAAAGGAAAATGAACCCAATTTAGTAAATCAACATAAATATAAACAGAGCAATTAGCCCCCTACAACTGAGCTGGCCCAGCAAGATGTCTTGCAGTTGGGTTCTTTTTCCGATTGTTTCAAACCTGCTGAGAGAAGAGAACTTTAAATCAACAGCCCACAGTGTTTCAGTAGGATGGATTTTTATCAGAGAAATAAACTAAAAAGACATATGGTATGACAGGAGTAAATATAAATAACATGAAAGAAGAGGGTATTACTGGCATTCTGTTCAAATGTGACCTTTTGCTCCATCTTTATACTGATTTTTCTTTCACTTTTTCTTTTCTTCTGGATGTTCCTTTCTTACCTTGACCTTCATCTTTGCTCACAGCACTCAAAGTCAAGATGACTTTTAAGCTCTACAATATAGACTGGGAATTTCTAGTGTTTTAGTTTTACATGACTGATTAGCTTAATCTAGGTCAAATCAACATGCAACTGTGACAGAGGACTGATGGGAGATGTCATTCTGTAAATATGTTTCTCTTATTGGTTAATGAAAAAAGCACTGTTGGCAAATAGGAAGGCAAAATAGACGGGACTAGGAGATAAGGAGGATTCAGAGAGAGGTAGGAGGAGATTCAAAATGTAAGACCGAGAGAAAGAACTGTAGATCCTCTCTCCAGTAAGATAAAACCATGTGGAAACACTTAGGTTAATAGAAATGGGTTAATACTTAAGACAGAGCTAGTCAATAAGAAGCACTAGTAACAGGCCAACAGCTTTATATCTATTACAATGTCTCTATTTGTTATTTGGGGCTGATGTAGGACCAGGCTGGCAGGAAAACTGCTCATAAAAGAGGACATGCTTATCATTGCTTTTCTCCTATATACCCCTATCCATCTTTTCTTTCTTATCCATACACACAGATCCCTGAGACTTATCTGACCCTTTGTCTATTCTTACCCGATTCCTCCCTGCTTCATCCATCTGCTAAAAGTCCCTGCTGAGGTAATGACATATTAATGTGTGGCATATTGCATTTTCAAAGTGTGTATTTTCATTTCAAGGGATGGCCACACATTAAGTAGGGAGTTTGATGTTTTGGAGCAGGGATCCCTCACCTGCTGGCTCATTAATCAGCTAGGCCTGTGTCTTTATTATAACCCTGAAAGAGATGAGTGGTGGGGGCCAGTGAGGAAGGCATGATGCATGAGCTGCACCCCGCTACTTTGTCCCACCATGCTGCACAGTACCAAGTACACCCTCCATGCTGTCTTGTATGCGAGTAGTGTTCTCTTAGTCCCACCATTCCAGAGTGGTTTCTGTCTACTTTCCACAGCCTAAATGTGTGACCACAGGGACCCTGAAAACTGTGACACCCATATATATATATATGATGGTTAAGAATGTAAGACTCAGAAGCCAGGTGTGGTGGCATATGCCTTTAGTTCCAGCATTTGGGAGGCAGAGGTCGATGAATCTCTGTGAGTTTGAGGCCAGCCTAGTCTACAAAGCAAATTCCAGGACAGCCGTGTCTGTTACACAGAGAAACCCAGTCTCAAAAAAAAAAAAAAAAAGTAGACTCAGATACTGCTTGAGTATCACTGTATCACTGTAGGTATTTTTTGAACATTAAAATTTTTTATTTTTGTTGTATGTTTGTGTTTTGACTGTATATATAACCGTGTCCCATGAGCATGCTTAGTGCCCTTGGAGGCCAGAAGAGAGTGTTGATCCCCTCCCTGGTAGAGCAGTCACGGAGAGTTTTGAACGGCCCTGTGGCTGCTGGGACATCTGCAGGAATAGTACATGTTCTTAACCACCGAGCCATCTTTCCGGCCCTCAGAACATGTTTGGCTACCTGTTTGACGTGTTCCTCCTCAAAAGTTATTAAATCTCTGTGTCTGGTTTTCTTCAGCTATGAAATGGGAATGGTCCTACCACTTACCTCTCACAGTAGCTGGAGGATCACCTGAGGCAGTAATGGTGCCTAGCGATTAGTAGCTGCCTCCTCAGGACTGGCACTTGGCAGTGGTGATCAGCACTGCACACTCTTTAGCGTATTTAGCGACCATTTGGTTAATGGGATTATTTAGAAGTCCCTTTACATAGGGAGGCTGGCTAGTGGATTTAATCCTATCAAGAGAGCACTATGTAACCGATGGAGAAGGTGGGCTGGCACACTTAGGTTGAAGAGAGTGCAGAATGGAGGAAAGGGGCAAGTCCCCCAGCTGCCTTCAGAGAGCTCACTAGCCCTGAGTTTGCTTTAGGAAGTCTGTCCTAGGGTTCTAGATACTGGGAAGCAGACTCTTTTTACCTGAGTTCTCTTTCAGAATTTTCTCCTATTGAAGGACAGGCTGGCTCTGTTTCTGGAAATGGGGAAAGTCCACAGCCAGCAGTACTGGCTATTCTCTGAGTGTATTTTAAACAGCACCCAGAGCATGTTTCTGAAAAGTACACACACCCTTTTCCAAGCATTCCTAGAGGACCATCAGTCTTCACTGGATAGCATATTTTGTCTATTTAAAACGTTTGCCATAGCCGCATGAAGTCTGAGGCCGTGGGCAATGTCTCCTAGGAGAGTTCTGGAAATAGAACCAATAAAGGAGACACAATTTCTCTCAAGAGATCCCCCCCACAAAGAACTATGCAGCCAATCAGGGACCCTGCCCTCTTGGTCAGCTTTTCCACACTAGGACAACTATTTAGAAACTGTCTTTCTGGAAACCATTCCATGACTGAGCCATTTATGTTGTAAGCCTGACAAGCCTGCAGTACCAAGGCTTTGTAAATTGGCTTTTTTCTCTGGGCTACACAGGACTTTTAGAAACTGATGGCTATCCAAGCACAGGTTTATGAATCGGCAATATTTCTCATGGACATGATATTCCACCATTCATCAGGGGGAAAAAATCAATCTCCCCCCAGAAAATTACCTTAGTGGGGGAAGTGACCTTATCCACAGATTGCTTTTCCCAGAGGTTCCGCTTGCCAGATACATCTCCTGGCCTCAAGTCCTAGTGAAAAGAAAGCAGAAAAAAACATGGCAGGTGACCATTCATACTTTCTGGCTAGGCTTAAGTAAGCTGACCACTACATCTACCAACCAAAATGGAACAACCACTAGCTGTTAACCTGACTTGTGAACAGACTTTGGCCTTTTTCATGAGAGTGGGCTGTAAATGCATACAGCATCTGGGACCTTCACTAACAACTCTCTGGCTCCTGATGTCCATGGTGCCTAGCCAAGAGGCAGGCTGCAAGTTCAGAGTGCTGCTCAGGTCCACTATGCCTTAGGGAGTGCACTTGAAAGTATCTGACCTAAATTCTCATGGCCCCCACGGTGCTTGCTGTGCTGGCCACCATCTCCCTAGCTCGCTCATGGTAGTGTTTACTCATCCCCTAACGATCCCCTTATGCGGGATCACTGTCTTAGGGTCTTGCAACATGAAGGAGGACACTAAAATCATTCCGTGCTTCTTGATGGCCAAGTGCGTCATCCAGAAGCGGATTAGTAGAACCTAGCCCCAGAAAATAACCACCTGTTTGTCACAAATGGTAGCCCTAAGAGAAGTGGGCAATGGATGGTATATGTTAAGAACAAGTGTGAATCCTGGGAAGGAAACGGTAAAATATGACCCATAATATTTATACAACCTTGGATTCTTGTCTACTTCCTCATAATTTCTTTTGGATAAGGATCCAAACTTCTGATTCCATCAGCTTTTCTTACAGCTCACACTAGTACTTGGCAAAGGTAGTTTGGAGAAAATGTATTTTACTGAAAATAGTACTGCTTACTTTGGCAATGCCTTTTCTCATTAGGAAGGCAAAGCTAGAAACTGTAGTTTTCCATGGATACCAGCTTTGATGAACATATTTCTGACCGGCATTTCAATACTGAACATGCACTGTTAAATAATGCCATGCAAAGGTTTGTCATACTATTACTGAGTTTATGGGTCTGTGGCATGAATTCCTGATATTCTATTAGAAAGTAATAGCTATTTAACTTAGATACATTAGGCGACAAATTGTATTTTAAAAGAAAAAAAAAGAATTCTATTACATTTGCCAATGTGGGTAAAAGTTGCCAAATCATCTGGAAGACTTAAAAACATTGGCAACTATAGTAAGGAACATGCTGGCAGAAGCTCTAAAAAGTGGGTATAATAATTTATTTGATTCATATATGACAAATATTCTTTCATATGAGTGTTCCTACCTAGGAAAATGGATTGCATTTCCCCGAAGTAGTGCTGATGAATCTTTCAAGATCACTTAAAGTGTTTAAATAAGGTTTCTTTTTTTTTTTTTTGAAGATATCAACGTCCACATTGTAAGTCAGTATTTTCAAGTCAAAGAGGAAATATAAATGGAATTACCTGACCAGACTACATGTTAGAGAAAGGCCCACTCTGGGAGAAGTGGGAGAAATGAAGGCAGGAAAGGCAGGGTTCCAGTCAACCAGAGACGCAAGAATGAAGAAGAGAAGCCAGCTGAGAAAGGCATCATTCTTTTTATAAACAGAAAGAAAGAAAGTCAGCAGTTTAATTGCTACAATACATGCAGCTTTGACACAAAGAATAGACAAACCAGCTCAAACATCCAGACTTGAATTCCAGTCACAAAGTTCTACCGAAAGTTTACAAATTCTACTCATAAGTAGCTTGAATGTTCCAGAAAGATACACAAAGCAGGGCAATGTTTAATTTTTAAATATGCTAATTTCCTGGGGTATAGTTATGACAACTTAGAGCACTTGTAATTCTTATCATCTCTGGAAAGGAGGCCATGAATACTAAGTCTTGGGTGGTTTTTCTTCTTAGTTTTAGAACTCAACATGCTAGCAATAGTCCTGTGACTTACTCTTCTACTTGTAGGGTTTCACTATGGATAAAGACTGTTTTGTTGAAATAACTCTCTCTGACTTTATTCTCATGGCCACCAGAGAAACACCTGCAAACAACAAACCTAAGATTTTTCCTCCACATACCTACAGTGAGAATAAAAGAAACAGGTTGAGAATAAATTTTATCTGCTCCAGAATCGGAAGGTACTATTGGAGTACTATTGGGGTGCTCCTTGCAGATAATGCTCTGACACTCCGGGCACAGGATCAGCCTAATCAGAGCCCCAAAGGTCAAACTTGGATGTCTTGAAGGACCAAGATAGAAACAGTAAGAGACTGGTGCAAGAAAACAAAAGGCTGGAACCAGTACATCCAAGAATGTATGTTTCCATACTTCAAAAATGTGCTCACATTATAACTTGAAAAATAACAAAACACAATGGTGTGGGTCTGAACTTAGCTTCGGGTCACTTCTTGACACCTCATGGACCATCTTTGTATCCTACCTTCCTTGGATGTTTTGTCTGACAGTCTACACATCTGCAGGATCCTGGTGGCCTTTCCCACACTGAAACTTTACCTCCTTTCTGCTGGAACCACAGCATCAATGCTTTACCTTTCCTGCCTTGCTGGGTTCCGAGTCGCTGTCTTCTTCCTGGAGACGGCCACATGACTAGCCGTGATTTGACATGGTGAGTCATATCAAAACATAGGAGGAAATGCCACCAGAAGAATGTGTGCAAAGATTAAAAAAGCTTAATGAGTTTAACCAGGCTAGTTTTATTTATGGCATCAAATATGTATTTCATACTTCTAATCTGGTCCTTATTTAAAGCCACACCAATCCACCAAACCCAATAGGAAGAAGGTGATCATTAAAATCTATACTACCTTTCATATTCTTTCCTTCTTTGCTTTCCTAGATAAGTCCACAAGTCACTTACTAAATAGGAGGTAAAGCAACCATTGATTTTATAAGTCCCCTATATTATTTTTCTGTCCTGTCACATTTTAGGAGGCCATGAACAACCCCAGGAAATGTCATTGTTAATCTTTGGTGTGGGATCCTTAATACAGCTACATCTGTGGCAATAATAATTCCACTTAACACTTAACCTTTTTAGTCCTCCCAGTAGGGTGGTGATATATAAGATAGGAAGTTCGTCAGGTCAGGTGCTGATAAAAGACTGGAGAGGAAGCATTGGATCAAACACATGAGAATAACTTGATACAGGAATGAACTAGAAAGGAATGGTTACCTCTATAGAGGTAGGGTGCCATACTCAAAGAGAAAGCATTTATCTCTGTATACTTCCTTTTTCTCTCATGGGAGTATCTCAAGGGGAGTGTATGTCCATGAACTTCTCAAATTTACAAGTTATAGAAGAGCATTTAGTTTCTCATGTGGCCATCAAAGGGATCCATAATTTAAAACTCCAAAGTTTAGTAAACATAGGTCTAGCACCATAACATTGACAGAAATGACCATAATTTATCTCTATTTAAAGATAATTTATAGTTTGTAGTCCGGCTTTGGTAAGGCACGTCTTTAGTCCCAGCACTCAGGAGGCAGAGGTAGGTGGATCTCTGTGAGTTCAAGACCAGCCTGGTCTACAAAGCTAGTTCCAGGACAGGCTCCAAAGCTACACAGAGAAACCCTGCCTCGAAAAACAAAACAAAACAAAACAATAATAATTTATACTTTTTATGTCAAGATGGCTGTCAGTGAAACCTGAGAAGCCAAAGACATATCTGGATGTGTCTTGCCTCCCCTTTCTCCTTTTACTGACTCTTTCTCCTTTACCTACTTGGGGGCAGGCAGATAATTTTTTTCAATGTATAATGTTTTCACAACTGTAAGTTGAGTTCACACTGGCGTATACCTCCTGTGAAACCTCATGCAAAGACTCTTGTGTAGAATATTAACTAAAAAGTTCAAGATGTTACTCCCAAGAAGGGAATGCAAACACTTCTATCTCTCCTTTATAATTTGTGAAGTTCTAGGATTTAGTGATTTTGGAGATCATATGTAGAGTCAACAGATGCAGTGAAATGCTTTAGGGACTTAATACTTTTAAGGTCTGGGTTCTATGGTGTTTTTTTTTTTTTTTTTTCTTAAAGAATAAAGATCATGTTGTTTCAGCCTGGTCTACGTAGTGAGTTCCAGGAAAGGCAGGGATATATAGAGAGACCTTGTCTCTCAAACACACACACACACACACACACACACACACACAAACACACACACAAAATAAATAAAAACAAACAAAACACAATGAATGTGGGTTATTGCGATTCACTTCCTGCTCCCTTGATACTAATAAAGCTACAGAGCCAGCTTCTCGGAGAAGGCTGAATGGGGCACTGTGAACGGTTTATTTATTCTAGTAACAAGTGTAAGGCAATTACATATAGTCAATGAAAGAGTTAAAGGCATATTTGTATAACTAGCTTACACTTAGTATGTAAATAAAGTTTCAGTGGTCTAAAATAATGTTCATAGCCAGTTTTTGTAGTTTTCATTTTTACTAGTTATGGTGTGTGTTGGGGGTGGGGAGAGTATTCCAATTTTCTAGTTTCAATTTTTTTCTGGTTATACTTTGCAGGTGTTGATAAAAATTTCTCAATTTATATTATATGCATAATAGCAATTATTTCAATAACTATTTTTGTGTTGTTACAGAAATTAGGTAAAATAAGAAAACATGGCCTCAAAACAGTCAAAATACACAATCTTTTGGAAATAAGTTTTGGAATACTTGTAATAGAGAAGTAGCTAGAGAAACATGGCATTTTGCTTTCAAATTCCTGTTTGTGATTTATAGAATAGAAGCCAAACAAACAAACAATAAACAAACAAATAAACAACTAAAGGAAAAAGGAAATGCAGAGGGTCTTAGCTGAACTGCCCAGCATTGTGTATTATTGCTGAGTTCTCCTCAGCCAGGCTCCCTCTTACTCTGAACTGTGGTGCAGCTGCTTAGGCTGCTTAGGCTGTTCTATGTCTGTACATTCTTCAATGGGCATGTCACTCAGCAGCAGCAGCAGCAGAGGACAGGAAAGCCATCCTTCCTAAGCAGGTGAGCTCTTCTCCTGTGTAATCTAAGAACCTCAGAAACCCCCCAAGGTACTTACAGAAGGCTTTGGAGCAGGTGATTTGTTGCCGTCTGGTGATTTAGTTAGCCATTCATTGATGCGGCTAGAGACTCCCACCTTCAGGCCAGCGGTTTCCTGCAAAAAAGTCAGTCATCTCAAATACTATAGAAAAAAGTAATTTGCCCAGGAACTCTTCCGAGCAACTTCAAGGTATCCTAAAATCTGCAGTGGGTGATCCCGATTGCCAAACTGACCGAAGGGTTACCCTGGGAAGATGGGCGAAGACACTCACTGCCCCGTTCCAGAGTTGGCAGCACTTTCTGGCGGTGAGTGGATACAAAGAGGGGCTGTGTGCCTCATGCCTTGCTGGGGAGTGCATCTGTCTGGCTGTCTCAGTCTGGTTGTTTCGGTAACCATCCTTCCTTTGTTGATGTAAGAACCCAGTCTATTTCACCCTTCCAATGTAGACTAAAGCCCAGTAGCTCCCCAGGTATCCTCCAGGCTTCAGCAACAGATTGGAACTGTTGAAGCACCCAGTACTGAGGGCTAAAAGACACCCTCAGTAACTTCTGAGCCTCCCCAGTGTACAGCCAGCCATTGTTGACTCAGCATCCACCATGGAAGCCAACTTAATACGTTCTCCTTTATAATAGGGTGTATTGATTGTGTTGATTCTTTCCCTTTAGAAATATCAGGGGGCTGGAGATAGGGCTCCATGGTTAAAAACACTGACTGCTTTTCCAGAGGACCTGGGTTCAATTCCCAGCACCTACATAGTGGCTCCCAACCATTTGTAACTCCAGTTCCAGAGGGTCCTATATTCTCTTCTGACCTCTGTAGGTACCTGGCATGTACCTAATGCATAGGTATACATACACACAGGCAAAACACCCGTACACATAAGTCTTTTAAAAAAGGAATACCAGGTTTTCTTCCATGTCCCCTCTTCCCATCCCAACCCTAATGGCTGATAATTAAATGTGAGCACTACATTTAGTGGTCCATGGGGGAAACGTCCACTTTTCAAAACTTAAGATGATGCAAACCACACTCATACCTTATTTGGTGTTCCTGGGGCAGACGGAGATGAAAACACATTCCCTTTCTCCCACATGCTCTTGATATTGCGGACGCCCTCGGCAGGAACAGGAAGATCCGATGCTGCGGGCTTAGTAGGTTTTGAAGCTTTTGTTCCCTGAAATGTATAAATAAGTTTTAAGACAGCGTTGAGAAGTTTGTCCTCATAAAATTACAATACAATCAACTAAAAATATCATGGTGTAAACTTCCATAAAAAGGGATTCATTGTTTCTGTTGTACAGCTCTATTCGGATGATGTGATTTTTCCACACAAACCATCAGAGCTGGAGCAGAGGATCTTTCTGAAAGGAAATATGCTTTTTAGAGCTCGATGTATTGTTAAGGTCACAGAGGACTCCATTTCTTCAGCAGATTTTTTTTTCAATGTGCATGCATGTTTGTATGTGTATGCGTGCATGTATGTGGAGGCCAGAGGGGTGTGTATGTGTGTGTGTGTGGGGTGGGGGCGGCACCAAGACTCAATCTCAGGTACTGTTCCTTAGGAGTCATCCACCTTCTTTTTGTGGGGAGGGGGGTCGTTCATGGGTTCAGCTAGGCTGTCTGGCCAGTGACCCCCCAAGAATCTCCTTGTCTCCTCAGCACTGGATTACAATGTGTGCAGCCACTCCTGGCTTCATGGAGTCCTAGGGCTCAAGCGTAGGCTCCTTTTGCTTGTGAAGTTGCTGACTAAGCTAGTCCCCAAGCCTCTCCAGTAGATAGGCATTTGTTCTGTTTTTAAACATGTATGCTGTGCGTGTGCATGTGTGTGTGTGTGTGTGTGTGTGTGTGTGTGTGTGTGTGTGTAAACCATGGGTTGATGTGCAGTGTCTTGCTTGATTGCTCTCCACTTTATACATTGAGGCAGGGTCTCTCACTGAACCCAAAGTTAACTGATTCTTCTAGTCTAGCTAGGCAGCTTGCTCCAGGGACGCCTTATGTCTGCCTTCCAAAACAGGCTGCCATGCCATCAGCTTTTATATGGGTGCTGGGGGTCTGAATTCCACTCCTCAGATTACAAGGTAAGTCCCACGTGATTACACAACCTGCTGAGCCATCTCCCAGCAGATGGGTCTTTAGCACTTACTATGCATGTTAACTTTGGCAGAGTTTGTCAAAGCAAGCCAGTTTGTTTCATAAGCTTATATTTTAATAGGATAAATGACAGTAGCCAGTATACTAGCACTTATTTTGCATTGTAGTAGACCCCATGAAAATAATGGATTGTAATATAGCCCTAGAACAGAACACATGACAGGGGAATGATATTTAGTTTGAGAATATCAATTAGGCTAAGGATACTATAAGTAAGTAACATTTACAACCAGATTCTAGCAGAGGAGACTGGGAAGTGGGAAAGGGAATAAGAGGAGGCCTTCACTCTGCAAAGGAACAGCATGTGCAGGTGCCCCAAAGTGGGGAAGTTCTTCAAGACTGCAAGGCTAAGGCAGGACAGCATGGAGAATGTACTAGAAGGTGCAAAAGATACAAGCAAGAAGGGCATGTCTTTGAGAAACTTTCCCAGCTGTAAACACAAGCCCAGATGGCTTCTCCTCAGTCCTGATTTGTGGCTGACAGCTTAGCAGGGATGAGGAACATCTTCTGTGGCTATAAGAAAATGACCTTACAAGTCTGTGCCAAGTCTGAGGCCACAGCCTTAGCTTCGTCAGAGCCAGGACTAATCCAACAAGAGAAATCAACTGTCTATAGTTTGTCATACTTTAGTGGATGCCAGTATTGTGAATAAAAAAAAATCACATCTTGGGTGTTACTACTTTATGAAGTACTTCATAAATCATAAGACCCCTCTGTCAATCTCTCTCCTCATTTGTGAGCTACTTTAAAGGCATCTTCTGCTCTGAGTACAAAGGAGAAAAGAAAAAGCAAATGAACCCAAGCTGGTCACTTCACTGAGGATGCTGTGATACAGAAGGCTGCAACCACTGCTCAAATCTACGCAAAGAGCAGACCAGCATCGCATCTTGATCAAGGATGCTACTCTTTTAGTGCATTGGATGAGAAAGACACATTTTAAAACAATCAAATTCCCAGTTGATAGAAGCATAAAACTATGGCCCTTTAAATACTAACCAACTAAGTAAAATGGATGATAATTAAACACAAGTTGGTTTCATCTTGATGTGGTTTCATGCTACTATATTTTTTAGAAGGAAAAGGTTTCTGTAAACAAAATTTGATGCACTTGTGAATAGTTACGATGTTATACATCCATCAGTCTATTCATTAACAACTAGAGAGAAGCCTTAGTGATTTGGAACACCTACTGCTCTTGCAGAGGACCCAGATTCAGTTCCCAGCACTCACATGGTGGCTCCCAACTGACTCCAGTTCCAGGGGAGCATATACATATATGCATGCAAAACATTCATACATATAAAATTTAAAAAAGTCTAAAAGAAAATCCATTCATTGAATCCATTCTCTTCAAAGAAAATTAACACTTGTTAATCTACTCAAAAGTCTCTAATGCATCATTCTTACTGTGTTTCTGTCTCCATAGCTGGTTCCAGACTCATTCATCACCCTGAGTGCTCCTGTGACCACGTATGTAACCACAGCCTGCTTCTGTTTTACAGGTCTGTGGCCAGGGAACAGCGCTCACCTCAATTGCATTGGTATACTGCTCCAGCCGGCTGTCAATCTTGGAGACTACTGCTGCTTGATGAGTAGATTTGACACCACTGCCAAAGGACACACACAGGTGTGAAAAAATGAGACAAAAGACATCCTTCCATGAGTGCAACAGCTGATGAGTCTCAACTGAACAGTCAATTGTATTTACCTTTTCTGCACAGACTTATTCAGGAATTCTGCTCGTTCCTCTATCTGGAAATAGAAAACGAAAAGAAGAACCCTTGTGAATATGCAGAGGAAACAGATTGTGTAGAAGCCCCAACACTGGGAATCCCTGAACCCCGACAGACTGACACATGGCTAAATGGAGACCACACTTGTGAGCGCGCATGGAAGGCAAGGCACGCCCAGGATGGCATGTTTTCCCTTTGGTCCTGATTTATGGCCTGTAGCTTACTCACCGCGCCCTTCAACCACACCACTGTCATTCCTGAACCTGGCAAATAAGAAACAGCACAGAGGATGCGAGGGCACTGCAGTGATGTGCACAGCAGCCCAGATGGGGAGGAAACTAGGAGTAATATGCTTCACACCGGGGAAGAAAAAGTAGGACTGGAAGAGGATAAAGAATGCAGAGAGAGGGGCTGGGGCCAGATACTAAGTTTCTGAAGCAAGAAACAGCCAGTAAGATGGCCTTCCACAATACAGACCAATGGCAAATTAACTATTCATGTTCTTAAATGCGTATCTCCTGTGATGGCATTTCAAATGGGTCCTTTGGAAAGGAATTGTGTCAGGAGGGTGGAGTCCTCCTGAATGGCATTAGTGCACCTGATAATAAAGACGAGAGAGCTTGCCTATTGTCTCGTTCTCCGTCACACGAGGAGACGGCAAGAACGTGCCCATTTGTGGAGGAGGAGGAAACCCCTTTCCAGAATCAGCAGGGCTGGCATGCTGAGGACCTTGTACTTCCAGTCTCCAAAACTGTGGAAAGCAGATGTTTACTCGGTTTAGCTGCTTGGGTTTTGTTGTTGTTGTTTGTTGTTTTGAGACAAGGTCTTACTGTGTAGTATAGGCTGTCCTTGAATTCCTGATCCTCCTGCCTCAGTCTCTTAAGTGCTGGATCGATAGGCATTGTCATCACACCTGACAGTGATAACTACTCAGTACAGTAATCTGATTATTTATCCAAATTGATAGAGAGAAGGGAGCACTCTAGTCTATGGACCTAAGGCAGGTCATTACGATAGCTTCCTGGACAGGGTAGGATATGGAATCTTGCAGCATGTGTGTTCCTTGGCAGACAAAGAGAACAAAAGGCTCTTTAAGGAGAATGAACATTTAGTAGATTAGGAGAACACAGAAATAAAACATTTAAATGTCAGTGGTAGGAACCCTATTAAAGATGGGAACATGATGTCACACCTATAATGCAAAGTGGGGGGTGGAGAAGGCTTTTCAGAAGTTTTGATATTTGAACTGAGTTTTGTAGTTTACACTTTCCCAAGTGAACTTAAGAAAGTGAGGGGAAGCATGCATGAGCTAGAGGGGATTTTTCTTTTAAGTAAAATACTTGACAGAGACTTGGGGTCCAGAGGGTGGTGGGGAGTACACTGCGGTCAGCACAGAGCAGAGTTGAGACTTGGTTTGTATGTGTGGCTCTGCCAGCATCTTCCTGACCCGGGTCATCCCGCTGGCCTTGGCCGTCACGTGAGCTCAAGCCACAGACCCTGTCACACCCCCATTCCTCCTGAGTAGTTAACCCAGCTTGACTTCATTCTCTAATTTTTTTAGGACTCACCCTCCACTCACTGTCTCTTGCTGGGAAACGCCTTAACCATCTGCTCTATATAACCACTCTGTGTGGAGTTGATGAACTAAACACGCTGCACAAGGTCTAAGGAATTTAAGGAGGGAAGTTGGTGGCCCTGATGACCAGGTGTTAGCAGTATTGTCTTAGTAGACTTAGGGAAGAGATAGCACTGCCAGTTTTAGATATTAGTTTGTGTATTTTCTTTACTTCACGTGCTACTTCCCCATCAATAAACTCAAACACAAACAACATCAAAGACTTTTACTCTACTTAAAATGTATTCTTTGTGGATGTTATCATTCATTGCTACCATAATCTAACAATGAGAGCTCATGTTGAGACTAGTTTCCCATACAGTGGAAATCACAAGTAATAAACAGAATACACCATTTAGTACTATTGTGAGGTCCTAATTGAAATGTTCTCTCACTGGCATTACACACAGCTGGTAACCCTGTGTGTTAGAACGATTATAACCGACGCTTCAGTCCACAGAGCATCGCTAGCTGTTGGAATTCCATTGTAGGATAAACTGATTTTAGGAAAATCCCAGGAAGCTCTTTAAGAAACATGCCAGTGAGACAAGCGACACATAGTATTTTCCCAAATGTTTATCTCTACTATGAAGAAATTAAAAGTGGTTGGTCCTTTCTATGTTTTGACTTTGAATGACCGTAGACATGTGCAGTTCCATGAGGGAGAAGACAGAAAGGGGCTTCCTAGGAAGGCCAGAGGAAGAGGGTGTGGACGGAAGGTAGACATGAGAAATGAGGAAGCTCATGAGCTTGGTAGAAAGGAGATGATTAAAGAGCGTTGTTGGTAGGAGGAAGCCCGGCTTCTCCAGACATCAGAGTAGACGGGGTCTAGAAGTCTCAGTGGTGACTGCACTTGCATTATCAGGACTGCTCAAAGAAGGCCAAAGAAAGCTCGACTTGGGAGAGATTTTAAGGAAGGGAGAACATTGTTTCTGTTGATTATTTATTGACCCCGGAACAAAAGAGCAGAACTGGGGGCAGGCCGGGCTCTGTGGCTGCTCAGGGACAACCAGAGTGGAGGGAGGTTTCCTGTTGTTGGTTGGTTGCTTTTGTTGTCCCTTCCTTCCTTCCTTCCTTCCTTCCTTTCTCCCTCCATCCCTCCCTCCCTCCCTCCCTCCCTCCCTCCCTCCCTCCCTCCCTCCCTCTCTCTCTCTCTTTCTTTCCTTCTTCCCTGTCTGCTCTTTTTTCTATACCAATGATTCTCAAGCCATGGTCCAGACTGTGTTTGCCACGAAGCTCCCAAACAATCAAAGGAAAACAGTTTTTATTGTTTTGTGTTAGTTTTTGGAGTCAGGGTTTTACTCTGTACCTCAGGTTGGCTTGGAACTCACAAGGTAGGTAGTCCAGGCTGGCTTTGAACTGACAATCCCCTCGTGTTAGCCTCCCAGTGCTGGAATCATATGAGTGTTACTACAGCCAGCCTTCAGCACTATTTCTTTTTTGAGATTTTTTTTAAAAAAAACTTTTTTTAAGTGTTTTGCAAGTATGTATATCTGCAGGCATTGCCCATGGAGGCCAGAAGAGGTGTTAGGTCCTCAGGAACTGGAGTTACAGATGCTTGCTAGCTGTTGAGTGGGTGCTGGGACCTGAACCCAGGTCCTCTGCAAGATCAACATGTGTTCTTAACTCATGGCCATCTCTGCAGCCCCCACTTTTAACAAAAATTTATATTATTCAGAGGTTAAAAAAATATTTCCAGACATAAAATAATTATATGAATTTCAAAAATTAGTGTTCTGAGATGGATCTGGTCTACTGTAGGCCTTATTATGCTGTGCTCTGAGGGCTCACTGGCTTGGATGTAGCTCCCTTTGTGAGTCCTGAATTAATTTCCTTTGAGGCAGAACTGTACTTTGCATTTTTTTCTTACAGTATGCAGCATGAATTAGTTATGTTGTAAATACCAAATATTAAAAAATAAATTCCCACTCTGGCTTAGATTGGTGTGTTGATGTGTTTTATGTCAACCTCACACAAGCTACAGTGAGCTGGGAGGAGGGAACCTCAGTTGAGAAAATGCCTCTGAAAGGCCAGGCTGTAGGCAAGTCTGTAGAACATTTTCCTAACTAGTGGTTGATGTGGGAGGGCCCATCCCATGGTGGGTGGAGCCATCCCTGGGCTGGTGGTTCTGGGTTCTATAAGAAAGCAAGCTGGGTGAACCATGAGGACCAAGCCAGTAAGTAGCATCCCTCCATGTCTTCTGCAACCGCTCCTGCCTCCGGGTTCCTGCACTGTTTGAGTTCCTGGTCTGACTTTCTCTGATGATGAGCAATGATGTGGAAGTATAAGCCAAATGGATTTTTGGTAAGTGGGAACCTTAGACTTCCCCACAGCAGAGCCGAAATGAGTGTTCAAGTATAAAAGTCATGGTTTTCCTTGAAACAAGGATATACTCTGAGAAACACATTGTCAGTTGGATGATCTCATTGTGTGAGCATCATGCTTTGTTCCTACTTTTAGAAACTAAGACACCTACAGGTCATTATGAACCAGTATTGTGCTTGTGGTCTGATTGACAAAATCGGTATTTTCTAGTTCACAGTGGTACTTTTGGAAGTACTGGAACTGTAACCAAGCTGGGCATTGTGGTGCATGCCTTTAATTCCAGCGCTTAGAGGGAAGAGGCAGGTGGGTTTCTGTGAATTTGAGACCAGCCTGGTCTATCTAGTAAGTTCTAGACTAGAACAGCCAAGACTACACAGTGAGACATTGTCTCCAAACAAACAAATCTGTGACTAACTTCCAAACCATTATAAAAGCTAAGGGAAGTAATCTGAATTCTGAGCGTAGCTGAAACAGCTCACTTGGTAAAGTGTGTGTCTAGAAGCATGAGGACCTTGGTTCAAACCCTGAGTCCCAGTGTAAACTGAGATTATATGTGCTTGTAATTACAGCTCTGGGGACCAGGCTAAGAGGAGAACCGGACTCAAAAAAATGAAGGTAGGTGGCTTCTGAGGAATAACACCCGAGGTTGACCTTGGCCTCTACACACATGCACATTCATTCACATGGTTCCCCCCACACATGTGTACTCTCCACATACACATAAACAAACAAATAGGCGACTGACTTTTGGTCACTTTCATACATCCATGTACATGTAGTCATGGGAACCTGATTGGCTTTGCCCACTACTGATGATTGTAGTCTAGTTAAGGTAATGGTAGATGAAGACAGGATACAAATGTTAAAGGTTCTCTGAGGCTTCACTCACTCATTTTGCAAACATTTATCGGATACCTTCAATACATAAAGTGTTCAAATCAAAAGAGAAACTTGGGAATGAATGACCCTTTGAGTCTACTGCCTTTTCCCCCATCCCCACACCTCAACCACTCCGTGGTCTCCCTGGCCTCAGCTCTCTTTGGCTCCTTCTCTTTTCTCTGGACAAGAACTTATGTCCTAAGAGTTAGGAGCTCTGTTCCGTGAAGGCAGTATGTAAGACCTAATTCTCCTGGAAGAGGACCCTATCCAAGTTGTATCTCATCTCCTATAAGATTAGCTTTGCAGTTTGTACCTGAACTAATTCCAGTTATTTTGCTTTTTAGTAATCACAAAATTAACATAAAAAGCAGCTGAAAAGAGTCAGTGGTCAAATGTGTGTAGCCCTCTAGAATTCATATGATGCTATCCAATCCCCAATATGTCCATAAAGAACAGGAAGGACCTGAAGGTGAGCCCCTCATGGATGGGATTGGTACACCTCTTCGAGAGGAGCATGCTTGCCCTTTCTTTTCCCTTCCACTACATGAGAACAGCAAGAAAGTGATACCTACAAAGAACCAGATCAGAATTTGCTAGTGCCTTCCTTCATCTTGGATTTCCGGCCTCCACAACGATGGGCAATACATTTCTGTTATTTATAAGTTACCAAGTCAAAGATGTTTCAATAGTAGCCCGAGCAGCAAAGAGTTAAATGAAGCAAAGGATGATCAAAAAGCAAAGGGGCTCCAATCACATTTCTGTGATACTGGAAGACAATTTTTAATATTCTGGGACAAAAATACCTTGAGGGATGAGCCTTTAGGAGTGAAACACTTGAATGGCTTCTTGTCCTCGGATAAGCCATCTTCTGGCATCTTCTGACGTTTTTCAGCAGCTTCTGCCCGTCTCTTTTCAATCTCCTCCTTTAGCCTCCTCTTCTCTTCCTGAGATACACAGGAAAAGTAGCAAGCACAAAAGCCGCTCAGTCAGAGGCAACAGACTTAACCCTGGGATGCATGCTGTCTCACCTTCTGGGGTGGTTAGAAGAGAGAGCCCCAGGTGCTGGTGTGCTGCAGTCTGAGGGTAAGTCCCATAGCATGACCTTAATCTTCCTACTACCCGCTTCTGTTTCCTCATTTATAAAGCAGAACCACAAATCACCCAACCTCAGGACAACTAATTTACGAAAATGTGTGTGAAGTGTTTAGAACTGTCACCCTGCTCCACAAGTCTCCCTTAAAGGGGATATGTTGCCATCACCATCTTATAAGTCACTTAACAATCCCAGGTCTGTCAGGTTACAAACTCCTACCATCAGCCACTTTCCAACTACAGGGCGTGGCCTCACTGGAAGCTAGCATTGGAAGAGTCATTGGGACAATCCATCCGAACTTTCCACACAACTTAGAGAAACTGTACAACATCCATTTCAGAAAAATCCGTGGAAATCTGTTCCCATATTTTGAGGGATCAGGAGCTCGAGGCCTGGAAAGTTCTAGGCTCAGGAGTTGGACGAGTGGGGTCCCCATGCTTGGTCCGTCACTTGGCCCTCAAGCATCTTTAACCAGGTCACTGTAACCATTTGATTCCTGGTGAGACTGTACCCCAGGATGAAAGGAAAGAGTGCACTCTGTAAACCGCAGCTAGCTAAACTGTAGCTGACTTAGCTGGGTGTTCATGTGCTGAGTCGTTTCCCTCCTTGTAACCTGATCTGTTCTGGGTTAAGAATGAAACACATGCTTTGTCCCACAGTGGTGGGGCTCTGGGGGCACAGCAAGCCCTATGTTGGGTCCTGGTATACAGAAGTAGACAAAGTGATACCGCCCTAGCCTATGTATATCCTAATCTGCTTGGAGAAACTGGAGGATCAGGGAGACAGCTCAGCAGATAAAGGTGCTGTGTGTGGTAGAAGCCTAGAGAGCTGAGTCTGATCCTTGCAACCCATGTAAAATGTGCAAGGAGAAAATTAATTTCACAAAGTTGTCCTCTGACCACCACACACAGATAACACCCAATGGCATGCATAGCACGCACACACACACACACACACACACACACACACACACACACACACACATACAAGCAATAATAATGATAACATCTCTGCAAAGATTCTCCAAATATTAGCTATTATGTAACAGCTATGTTTTTCTTTCCTTTCTCTGTTTGTTTTATCTTGTTTGCAGTCAGAATTTCTCTGGGTAACAGGTACTATAATGTCCAGACTGGCCTTGAACTCAGGATCCTACTGCCTCAGCCTTCTAGCACTAGGATTCCAGGCATGAAACCACCACGCCCTCTGCTTCCTAGCTTAGTGCTGTGACAGGTGGCAGACCTTCCATCTCTCTCAGATCCCCCATTGTTCCTTATTGAGAGGCTATATTAGACAATGGCCTAAGTGGGGAAATTACACAAACTCCCCTGTGCCCCAGTTTCTTCACCTAGAAAATGGGGACACAAGTACCCAGGGTTCAGAAACATGCCAGTTTATCATCATACAAATGATTATCATTGTTATTGTGAGAGGGTCTCCTATCGTAGGCTAGTCTCGAACTTGATATGTGATGAAGGAGGACGGCCCTGAACCTCTGATTCTTCTCCACCTCCTGAGTGCTAGGATTACAGGGGTGCTCCGCCACCTGTGTTAAGTACTGCTGTGGATTGACTCTAGGGCTTTGGGCACACCACTGAGCAATCACTCTGCTGTCTGAGCAGCAGGGGACTTCAACAGACTGGCCCTCTCAGACACAAGGTCACATGGGTCATGCACTTTGCCCCTGCTCGGCAGGGAAGTCATTACCTCCTCTCTAGCTTTTCGGTCAGCCTCCTCCTGCTTTCTTCTCTGCTCCTCTTCCTCCAGGACCTTCCTTCTCTCCTCTCTCTTTTTCTTCAGCTCTTCCAGCTCCAAGGCTGCCTCCTGTTGCTTTTGTTTGAGTTTCTCAAACTCTTCGCTCTCAGTCTCCCCGCGGCGCCTGCGCAGCTCCTCCAGTCTCTTGCCAGCTTCCACTTGCGGGGCACCTTCGGCTTCCTTGTCCCCACTGGCCCGGCCTCCTGGGCGGCTGGGGCTGAGGGAGGAGGAAAGGAAAGGCCAGTTACCTGGTTCTGTCTTGCAGCTCCCCTGGAAGCAGGATGATGTCTGTGTGCAGGAACTATATCCAGGCACCTGATCCTCACACCAGCCCTGGGGTTGGTTGAGGATCTACATGGAATATAAAGACTTCTCGAGGGCCTCTACTAGGGCAAAGTGAAAATCATGCACCTCGTGTGGGGAAAATGACACATCCCTGTGCAATCCCCATAATAATAGTAATATTGTTTATGATCCAGACATACAACTTGGCACATAGTCAAAAAGACCTGAAAGCAAGGTCTTCAGATGGTGGAACACCTACATTCATGACAACATTATCCACAAGAGCCAGGAGGCAGAGCAACCTGAGTCCATTGTGGGATGAATAGATTAGCATAATGTGGTAAATCCACCGTAGAATACAGTTCAGCCTTCAAAAGAAACACCTACACACGCTTCAGCGTGGATGAACTTGAAGCTATTAGGCTAAATGAGACAAGCTAGTTATAAAAGGACCTCAACATTCTACTTGTATGAGGAATCTAATACCAAATTGATAGAAACAGACAAGGAATATGGTGGGTCTCTGGGGTGGAGGAGGTGGCTGAGGAGGAGCTGTGTGGGAGTGTGGAGTTTTAGTTCCTTGGATGAATTGATTACAGAGCTCCATTGCAGGATGTTAAGGATGCCGTTAAGACTACCGATCTCTAGTTTGTTTTTTGAGGCAGGATCTCTCTACAGCTGGCCTCTACCTCGAGCTCATAATCCCTCTACCTCAGCCTCCTAAATGCTGGGATTACAGGTGTTTACCACTATGTGGGCCCTAATGTTTCCTAGTGGAGTGAAACCCAGTAAGGTATGTACGTTTTGATAGAGATCTAGGAAATTTTTCTTATCCAAAATGTATATTACTACCCTCTCTGACCCCCAAACAACTGGAGTATCCTTTGTCAGGATTTAAAACTCTAAATTATTATAGAGTTTGTGTGATTAGGGTGGTTATTGAAGATCAAAGGGGTCATTCATTGTTTCTTATAAGTGTTTTCAAATGTATTGTCTCCTTTAATAGTCATAATAACTGGGAGACAGAATAAACAATTTGCCTAAACTGTAGAAAATAGCTGACTTCTTGGGAGATAGCTAAGTTAGTAAGGTATTTGTCATAAAAGCATAAAGACCTGAGTTAAATCCCCAGCACCCATGTGCAAAAACAAAAACAAACACAAAAACAAAAAAGCTGGGTGTGATGAGAGGTAGGGATAGGCAGCCAGCCTGGAAAACCAGCCCCGCCCACTCCAGATCAGTGAGAGACCCTGCCTCAAAAGCAAGATGGACGGCCAATGGGGAGCAACAAAGTATACTCTGTCTTCACTAGTGAAGTCACACAACTGGATCCTCCCAAACTAGACCGGAGGAGAATTTAGTGATGTTCTGGAAGGCCTTGATATAGGGAATCTTCAACTGAAAGACAGCTATTTAAATACTTTTAACACATATGTCATTACTAACTAGATCCAAACACAGGAACCCCACAGCTCACAGCTTTGTCTCAGGAACAATGAATCGCACTGTTTAACATTTATCCTGTGTAATGGATGGCACAGTGCTTCCAGCTATGAAGCAAGAGAGTGAAAGAAACAAGGAGTGCTTGAAGACAGCCAGTACACAGTGCTGACCTTATTGTATACACCTCGTGCTTGTGAACACAGAGGTCATCCAGGTATAAAAAAAAAAAAAAAAAATCCATTTAGTAAATCGGTCTCAACATTTTAAAAAGTGAAAGAGCAAACAGTGTAGTGCATTGTGCAGCAGGAAAGACAGCACCATGTTTTGAAACAACTTATTTTGGCTACAGATGTGTATGTTGGGGCGGGGGTGATATAAAGTTTGTTTGTTACTATGGGCTGAGGTTATAAAGTAGAACAGGTTCTTGACGGTTAAAGACGGACTCTCATTTTGAAGTCAAACAAAGTCAAAGGGTTTCTTACAACTCCACATTGCTCTTCCAGTGTTACAAGCCTGTGACTCCTGGCTCAGTGAAGGGGAGTTCTAGAAGCAAGTTTGCTCTCTCTTGGATCCTCTTGTGGTGTGGATGAGAAGATGAGCCTATGGATCCACTAGGTGTCGCTCTGTCTTTGTGTGATCAAACTGTTGGTTGTGGGGGCTCTGGCCCAACAGTCCCACATGCAGAGCAGATGATGGATGCTCATGTCACTAAGTGCAGGCTGAGATTCACTGGCATAGGAAGCTAACACTGTCATGCATAGTGCAATTTAAAAATATACGTTTCTGATTACATATATATATGTACATATATATGTATATACATTACATATATGTATATATTGTACGATCCTGTCTTGAGTATTATATATGTAGAAAGATATCTGAAATAAATGTTACTGGTGGCTGAATTAAAACCTTAAAACCTTAAAAATGAATAATCAAGTTAACTTTCATGAAAATGAGAGTAAGCCTCTGCCTAAACATGCTGGTAGGCTTGTAGCACCAGGGTGGTATATAGAAATACATTTCAGAAAGTTCTACTGTCTTTGGCTTTTTTAGGTTTAAGGCAAATCAAATTCCAGGCTTTTGCCCATGAACACAGCTTGCTTTTAGCTCAGCTGATAAGTAAGCACCTAGCCTAGAGGCTCTTACTATATTCCTCACCATGTGAGTATTTGGAGTGTATCATTCTCTACTTGTATGGGTATCAACTCCTAGCAAACATGAACAAAAATAAATTATATTGTAGTATCCTGTTTCTGACTCTCTCAAATGTGTGTGTGTGTGTGTGTGTGTGTGTGTGTGTGTGTATGGCAATTTACATAGAGGGCTCTTAAAGTCCTGTGGTAAAGAGCTGCAATTTGGTTTATCTAATATGCTCAAAGTTTTTGGACCACAGAATAATTTGAGCTTCACGAAATACTTGTTTACAACCTTTACAAAAGGAACTTGTAAAAATGGTACTGAGAAAGGTTTGTAGAAAGTTGTCTGGATCAGCTATAGCATGAGTGGACAATATTAATCCCAGTCACAATATTTCTTAATACACTGATACCATATGAGCATATTGTCAAAAAAAAAAAAATGGACACGAAGCAGTATTAGAAGAAATAGAAGCTGTGGTTGAGCAATGACTGCTGATTTCCCATTAGTGCTAGGGAGACAGGACCTGCTGACTTTGTACTTTCAAGACAATGGGAAGAATGCTGTTTGGTTAGGTCCTTTCTATCTGAAGGTGCAGAACAAGGAGACCGAGTCTCCGTCCCACTCATGGGAAGACAGCAACTTTTAATAGTCACAACTTACCTGAAAGCATTCTCAGTTTGTTTAAGTTTGTGAGTCATGAATTCCCCGTTCTGCGCCTTCACTTCTGTAAACCCTTTCTTCCGATCCAAGAAGCTCTTAACTTCTTCTTTGGGTTCTTTGTCCTTTTTAATCTTCTCATCTTTGATCTAATCAAGGATACATATCAAGAAAATAGGGAACCATAAACGTCTTACTAGGTTTTGGTTGGTTATTACCAAGACCCCGACTTCCTCTAAGGGAGTCTGTAGACTTGATATCCAGCAATCATCCAGGACATAATGTAGAAATCAAGAACATCATTAGAGAGTGACAATGGTCCTTTGGCCTATGAGCCAAACACCTGAACCTTAATTTTAGGAAGTCGAGATCCATCACTGATCTCACTGGGGTTTCTATTTGGAGGAAGCAGTATTATTGTTATTTTTGAAAACTATCAAGTTCTAGGAATTCCACCTAAGAGTAGTTGCTTACAGTTCCCACTAAGAAGAGCAATGTGGTTTTGATGGAAGAGTGGCCGTGTAGCTTGGCCGAATCTCTTCTTGGCTAAAGAAAGCATCTTTGGTAAGGGCCTACTAATAAGGAAATAAGAAGGAAATAAGGAAAAAAGCAGGTGATGCAGATCTGCCAATACTGGGGCCTATGATCCAGGCATTTCAGTCAGTTGAATCAGGGGTTTCAAGGAGGCAACATCGAACCTACCTTTAGGGGAAGGACTTAGAACCATGGTTGAAGCCACATAAACAGTTCTAGGGTGCACGTTGATTTCCCCTGGTAGGAAAGATTTGGACTTCCAGAGGTGGGTTTGTGATGGCCATGTAACACAGAGGGAAAGGGTATGTGGACAGCAACTGGGACCTTTAGTATTTTTGTGGGGGTCGTGTTGTAAATTCCTTTTGGTAGACGTGTTGTAAATTCCTTTTGGTAGATCATTTCAAAGTGGCTTTTGACGAGATCGGGCGTGTTCAGGGTGGTATAGCCACAATTACTATCTCACCCATTCTTAAAGTGTGAGCAGGGGGGAGTGATGCCCATTGTTATTTTTAAGACAGTTGCAAAGAACTAGTGCTTTTCAGAAACGCTTCGAGGAAAGTAGGCCATCACAATGTAGGGCTTCTAGGCTGTCTAGAACATTCTCCCTTTACCTGACCACTCATTGCTTTCCAGCGATTCTTGACACCCTCTGAACATTTATCCCTAAAAGGCATGTTTTACAAGGTAGAACGTGCTGCTATGGATTACCTTTTATAGTCTTTTGCCTGATGATCTTCCTGAAATGGTATTAAATCACCATGGATGGACTATTTGATGACACTGCTCTAGTTAAGACTAGAGCAAAGAGAGGGAAGCTCAGGGCCTGTGTAACAAGTGTGACCATAGCTGCTTGGTGGCTGTCCCTGGCCCCTAAAACACACCAGTATTCACTGAATAGGTAGCAAGTACAGAGTGCAGTTTCACTTTGGCCTGTCACTGTTGGATAGAGCCCCAGGAACCACGGGCAAAAGTTCACATCCTGGTTAATATGTATCTGGGAATGCAGATACGGAGGTGAAGGGTACTCTCCCAGGGTACCTATGAGATAAATTCTGAGTCAAATCTCATGGTTTATGGGGGCAGTAGCACAGGTAAATTTCTTTTAACTCATTTCTTCTATTTTGCAGTCAGAAATACTTGCATCTCCCCAAAATGTATTAGCAGACTTCCTGGTGTTACTTCAAACAGATTTGTAAAAGAATAAGATGTCTATGAGAAGTAGGCCTCCCACCCTACTTCAGGCTGTCTGTGCCTCTGTTGAAAAGGGTTATGGTGGGTGGCCTTCTCATATTTGCAGTGGGAAACTTGCTTAGAAACATTCTTAAATCTAATAATGATGACTTGGGTTTGACTGAAAATTATTTTCTCCTGAGAAATGAATGAAATGACTCTACAGGATCTTAAATTTTTAGTTTAAAGAATACAATGGATTAGGTTCATGGCAAGCCCACAGCCTTGTGAACCCCTGGGGAAAGAACTAGATCTTTTAGGCTGGAATATTACCACAGAAAGAGATAGCTGCTGAAGGGTCACTAGGTGGTCATGAATACTGAAAGAGTAAACATGCTTCATTCACAGACAACATGGGTGGGCTCCCACGGCAGCCTGCAGACACTTGACCAATGGAGAAATATGACCACGTGTAGGAATTTTAGGGGGTGTAGGAATTTAAGAGACATGGCCTCAAGCTAGAGGCACAAGGGGACAAGGGGACCCACCTGAGCTAGGAGCCTCTCTCATGCTATTCTGCATGGTAAAGTTCCAGAACAGCAAGAGTTAGGTGTCAGTTATAGGTTTTCAGACCACATTTAGCACACGCTGGTGAGCTTCAGAGTCCTAAATCCTCATTTGGTACCCTGTTCTACACTATGGATGTCCTCAGGCCTCCCTGCTCCTGAAACTGGTTCACAGACAACTCAGATCTTTGGCAGAGAGCTTAGATCCTGGCTTAGAGTGGCTGAATCATTCTTCAACCAAATTTCCAGTTCACTGAGGTTCAGGACTCATAGGCCTGGGCAACAGGAGTGTCAGGTTCAAAGTCATAAAAGACACTCTGCTGGAAACTGTCTTTCTGTTAAAGGCCAAGGGAGAAACCAAATAGATACCCAGTAAAGAACTAAAAAGAGACAGCTTATAATGGAGGAGGAGAGACAGACAAGTTAATTATGTCTCAAGGTTGGAGAGCATCTACACCCCATGGCTGCTACAGAGTTCAGCTGCAGCAGGAAGACATGGGGTTTGTTTGTTTGTTTGTGTTTTAAAGCCCTGGAGGGACTCTGGGAAATGTTTCCCTTGGAAGTCGCATTTACTTGTGGTTGACCTATCCTGCTTAGGTTGTGTGGATCCCTGCCAGGGAAGGTTTCTGTTTGCTTTTTGTGTGACCAAAAAGGGTTGTTTAAAATGACTGAATCAAGCAAAAATGATTTAAAGTCGCCTACATAACACACCAATCCAGCTGGCTGGGAAGGGGGAGCTATACCCATTCAGTCAGCAGTTTATCTATACAATGTTAAGATGTTAAAATTGCTCTTTTGAAAAGCCTGGTTGGAGGAAATTATCTAGACTGGCGCGAAAAAAACGCAGCCAGAAGTTCTGAAAGCTGGAATGTGCTGTGGGGCAAAGTGGGAAAGGGATAATGGCAGGTTTGAAGCCAGCCATTCCCTGGAGTGCTTAACTGATACCACGGACTTTGTCTTATCTGAAAAGAGGCAGATGGATGACTGGGGATGAGCTTCTCTGACTCAGATACCATACATAGGCATGGGATGCTTTGGCCATTAGAAGTAAAAGCATTATCTTGGCAAAATGAGTTAACTTTCACAATACCAGAGGGTGTTTACTACAGCCTCCCTTCCCCACATTCCATCACTGAGTTGCAAATTTCACACCCTCTTCCCACGACGGAAGAAGTTCCAATGTGTTCAGCTGTCTCCTTAGCTGTCTGGTAGAGCTAAATTCAGTTTCCGGGTCACCAACATATGTACTCTCTCCCTCCTTCAAGTAGCCAGTGCTATGTTCAAACCACGAGTTCTATTAGAAGCAGAGGGGAACAAAAGTTTTAAACTAAGTATAACTTGCTGCATAAATAGCAGGGTATCTCTTCTTTCGTGAATCTTACAAAGCCACCTAAGAAAACCACCCTCCTGCTACCTAATACGGCCATCTATTTTCTACACTTGGAATTTTCTTTACAGTTCTGGATTTTCTTAATGGATGCTCTAGCAGAGAAATGTAGCAAGAATCCATTTGGGCCAGTGTCCAATGGCTACAGATCTTTTCATCAGTCTCCTGGGCAATATAACTCAGCTATTTCTACCTCTGATGGTTCTGTTTTCCATACCCAAAACTCCTCGAACACCCTGGATACCACAGCGATTTGTCATGTCACTCGAGGCGGGGCTTTCTGCATGGCACTATACGCTGCACATCACTGTGCAGAAGTCTCGTTTACTTACCTACAAACACCCTGGAGAGCCCGCTCCCTTGCGTGTGTGCCTCAGAAATGCAATGCAAAGTATTTGGCCAAACTTTTCTTTTGAAAAGCGTATATCATCTTCAGCTTGTCAATTGTCTACTGCGATTTAGGTTGGGGGAGAGGGTTCATTTTCTCGGAAAAGTTAGAGCATTAATCAAAGCCAGCTGGAAATATTTCATGATTGAAATGCAAGCAGAGAAGGGCTCACGGGAACCAAGGCAGCACTGTAGGGGCAGGAAGCTGCAAAGACTAGGAGCGAGGCTGTCTAAGTGCTTGATTATGATACACACTAAGAAAGACAATTTGTATGAGGGTGCTGTACTACTGCCTACACACCCTCAGATGCTTTCAGGTCCATGTCTTTTTCTTGTTTTGAACCACTGACAAGTATCCATGTGTGTCGTGTATGAATGTGTGGGCACATGTATGCATGTGTATGGTGTATGAGTGTGTGTGTGTGTGTGTGTGTAAGGCACAGGCTGATTTTGGGGTGTTGTCTATGGCTCTCTACCCTAATTTTTGAGACATGGTCCCTTGCTGAAGCTAGAGCTCGCTGGTTGGCTAGCATAACTGCCAATGAGTCCCTAGGAACCCCTAGTGATCCCTCTGTTTTTGCTTCACAAAGCTGGAGTTATGGACACTCCTGTACACTATGCCCAGCTTTTTATGTGGATGCTGGGAATCTAAACTACACTTTACTCGCCATGTCTCCAGCCTGATTAAACAGTTGTGAGATACTCTACACTATCACACCATTCAACTACTCATGAGCTATAGACTGAAAAACACGGGGTAGTAGCTGCAACTCTAGATCAGATCCAGGACGCTGCTTTGTGTACGGCTTTAGGTCTGATTACGTTCAACATTTACCTCTTCCTTTTTGAAGGCAGGCTTGTCATCTTGGGGCTTTTGACTCTGAGCTTGCCCTTTAGTTCCCTTTTCTTCTTTCTTTTCCTTTTCAAGAACGGTGAAGGTCACTCAGGTAAATAGAAGCCCTTTCTAGCTTGTGAGAGTGAGAGGGTGCTTGGATCACTCCGTGTGGGCTGTGATGTCTCAGTGGCGGTCTTAATGCCACACTTAGGCCCCGTGGTGCCAGTGGTACCTGGTGCTAGTGGTCTGTCAGCAGGTGCGAAATGTCCCACCCCACCCTTCCTCCCGTTGCGCTCACTGAGATCTAGCATGACGCGGTGTCTCGGCCAGGTGTGTGTTTACACCCTGCTCACGACCTTCTGTTACAGCCAAGTGCCTGAGCCCTTGGTATAGAAGCAGGAGTGAAAAACAACTTCCGTGCAATGCAGTGACCAAAGTTTCACTCTGGAAAGGTGACTGTGCGAGCATTTCTGTCTTTTTTTTTTTTTTTTTTTTTTTTTTTTTTAATGCAGCCTTGCAGATAGAGAAGGGGAAAAAAAATCTAATAAAACTTGTATATTTTCACTTCCTTCCCCAACTACTACTATTCCCATCTTTCCTAGAGTTACATAAACTTGTGCTATCCTCATGGCAAAAAGGAGCAAACTGCATGTTCCTAATTGTCCATTATTAATTGTTACCTGGCATTACTCCAGCTGAATAGCTTCCTGCAAGTCTACATTAAACCCGGGTCTACATGATGGCAAGTCAGGCTTTTGAAGGTGTTTTTTTTGTTTTTGTTGGGGAGGGTTTTCCAACAGTCTCCTTCCCCCTCCTTTATTCCAGTTGACTTCAAAGGACTTATATTTCTGTTTTGCTCATATTGAAATGTCTGAACTTAATTCTTTGTTTCAACTCCCTACTCCTAATTTTATAATTAAAAACTGCCATCAAACACCAGAGCAAGGTGAGAAGTACAGGCCTCTTGCCTCATGTACACCCAGGAAAGATGTCAGAAAGAGGGGTTCAGGTGCAGATGCAGATGCAGAAACAAGCGGACACAGCCCCACAACGTTCATCATCTTTGGGTTAATTCATTTTCTTTTATAGCCATAACAACACCCAAACACAGAGCAATTAGTTTCTCTGTAGTTGTCCCATTGATTTGGTTGATTGCATACTTAGCCATGGTTCCATTGCTTCATGTTTGGGTATTGCTATGGCTTGCAAAAAAAAAAAAAAAAAAAAAAAAAAAAAATGAACACTTTGCCAAATGACCAAGCATGCCAGGCCGTGCGCATGAGGCCTCAGCCCCCGATTTGGTGTGCATTGCATTGCATGTCTCAGGGGTCACAGGCATCACACGGTGGCTGCGCAGTGCTTACTGTACCTGCTGCTTTGGGACAGCTGGCTGAAGTCTGTCTTCTTGTATTTTCCTTTCATTCACCCCTTTCCCTTCGGCTTTCTCAACTCCCGCTTTCTCAACTCCCGTCTCCCCCTTGTCCTTCGCTTCTTGCTTCTCAGTCCTTTGCTCCTCCTCTAGCCGCTGTTTTCGTCTTTGCTCTTCTATCCTAGCCTTCTCCTCCTCCTCCGCCTTGGCCCTCTGCTGCTCCTCAACCCTGGCCCGCTCCTCTGCCTCCTTCCTCTCCCTTTCTTCTGCGGCTGCTTTGCGCTCAGCTTCAATTCTTGCCTGCTCCTCGGCTAGCTTCCTGTCCTGCTCAGCTTTGACTCTTTCTCTTTCTTCGGCTTCTGCCCTCAGCCTCTCGGCCTCGGCTCTCTCCTTTCCCTCCTCCTCCATGCTTTTCCGATGGGCCCTCTGCTCTGTGTCTGGTCCACTCTCCCCCTCGACTTTGGACTCTTCCCCACTCACTTGCCCATTTTCCAATACCGTTACCACGGCTTCCTCCTGGGTTTCTGGTGTTTTCTCCTCTCTCATCTCCTCTACCTGATTCTCGCCAAGGCTCCCTCCCTTCAGCTCCTCCTCCTCTTCTTTCTTTTTGTCCTCAGCATCCTGATAGCTGTTCTTCTGGTAGGACTTGATGACTACTTCTGTCTCTTCCACCTCATATCGTCCGGGGCGACTCTCTCTCTTTTCTTCCTTCTCTGCTGTTTCGTTTTCTGCTGTGTCATTTTGCATTCTCCTGCTAGGGCTTGGCAGACTGGCATCTGTTACCGTTGGATCAAACTCCTTCTGACGTTCTAGAGCTTCCTGGAGGCGTTTCTGACGCCTCTCTTCTCGCCTAGCCAGGCGCTCCAGTAAGGCAGCCTCCTCATCGCCTTCTACCTGAGTGTTTGTGGTGGCTGGCTTAGACTCTTCATCAGGGACACTGGATGGCAGAAAGAACAACAGCAAAGACAGCTTGTTGGTTAATCAGTCCCCTAGAGCCACCCATAACCAGAGCAGATGCCAGTGGTATCTAGCTCGCATGCCCCTCGATGTAACCACTCTGCGCTTGCTTGCCTGGCTTCCAACCCAGCCTAACAAAGTCTTGCTCTTGGACTTTCTCAGGTCACTGTGTCTCCTCAACTTGCTGTAGGAGCTTTGAATACTAATGTCACCCAACAAAAGCAGAGGAACATCATCATATAAATACCTTGGCCTTTCTCTGTTTTGAAGGACCATTCTACAATCATGGCTCTTACTAGAGTTATGTTCCAGATAACCACCGTGACCACCTATGCCAGAAAGACAACCTTTACTTGGTTGCCCTCCCTCCCCACACTCCCACCTCACTTTTACCTACAACCCTACCATTGTTTCCTGGAATTACCTTACAAATTACTGGTGCTTAAACTGTGATTTCAGAACCTGGGCCACTGTGGATCCCAACTATGACAAGGGTCAAATCAGAAGAATGGGCGACTTCCGTGAGCATCATAGTTTCACGCGCATGCCACCTAGTTATTCCTGATCTGGATTGGTGGGACCCAAGGCATTTAGAGCGGGGAAGAGTATGTGTAGTGTGGGGATTCGACACCTATGCCAGCAAGCTGTGCTTTGGAGACATCTAAGTGTTCTCCACGGTTCATAGGGTAATGACTGCATTTCCCACTCTCTACCCTTCTTTGTACCTAGTCAGGACCACATAACCAATGAAATGGGAGTACAAATGATGTGTCCAGGCCAAAGCGATTGAACAGGTGTGTATTCTTTATGTTTGTCAGCTCTGTTGGTATTCAGCAAGCTCTGGATCCTCAGGGGTTGACGGGGTCACGGGGGAAAGAAAGACAAAGGGTCCCTGAGGCTCCCTGACCAGCCAGTCTAGCTGAATCAGCAAGCTTCGGGTTCAGTGAAAAACCCATCTTTAAACAAAAGTGGAGAGCCAGGCGTTGTGGCCACACCTTTAATCCCAGCATTGGGAAGACAGAGGCAAATGGATCTCTGGCAGATGAGCTCGAGGCCAGCCTGGTTTACATAGCAAGTTCCAGGACAGGCAGGGACCCTGTCTCAAACAAACAAACATTAATAATAATAAAATAAAAGTAATAAAATAAAAATAAGGTGGAAAGCACCTTGTTTAGTACACACGAACATCCACAATACATTAGTACACTGTGTTAAAATACTGAACTGGTCGCAGCAACATTACCATACCTAATTAAGCTGATGTAGCTTCTTTGTATAGGTTTCCAAGAATAAAGAACTTTTTTCTCCTTCTCTCCAATTGGTAAAGACTAGCTAAATCCAATGTTTATTTTAAAAAAGAAAAGAAATGTAAAACCCAAACTGTAGCATGTCCATCATCTCCTCACTCTTCCAGGGTGCTGGACACTGCCCAGACCAAGGGCGTTGGCCACTCCTGGCTGGAATTTCCAGTCATGTGATGCCAGAACTGTGACCACAGCTGGAAGCATACATCTTGCAATGTTTAGAAACTCCATCAAATTTCATGGTTCATACTAAACTTGGCTCTTCTGATGTTCAAGTTCACTTGGTTTTGGAAAAATACATTTCATATTTAACAACAAAATACGGCCAAGGAAATCCTAGATTCCAAGCTCTTTTGGCCTCTGCTGTTGTTTCAGGACATGGTCTCTGTGAATTAGCCACATACGGATTACATGTTCACAGACATACAAAGAACTAGGAGTTTAAGGGAAAGATCTAAGCATAGGACACTTGAATCAACCGAGTTCCAATATTTTAAAAAGGTGCCACAGATTCCAAAGTGCTAGCCCGAGAAGAATACTGTTAAGAAATCGACAGACCCTTGTGAGCCTTTCTTTGCTTTTTTTTATAGATCACTGTAACAATCATCAGTAGACGCTAAGTGTCTGTTAGAGCTGCTTAGCCACAAGAAGGGGCTTTATACTTGTAGGTAATTAATATGTCTGCAAGAAATCACATGCTTAGACCTGAATAGATGGCACTTAAAAAACCTTTTTTAAAACTTCTTTTGAATAAGAAAAGAATTCTTTTGATATAGGATCTCACGTAGCCCAGGCCTTGTGCTCACTAAAAAGCCAAGGTTGACGGCGAACTCCTTCCTGACCCTCCTGCTTCTACCTTTTGAATGCTAGGGCTTTAAGCAGAAACCATCATACTTGGCAAAAGAATTTGTGAATTTAGGTAATCTCATAAAATAGCTAACAATAAAATTAAAGCAGAAATTAAATGTAAGTAGAAACAAGACCTATGTATGTGCTTTTGAGTCTGTTGTTGGGTCGAAGTTCAAACCCAGGGCCTGTGTGCTGAACCTACACAGCACTGTTATCTCAGTCCAGAAGTAGAACATTCCAATCAGCTGTAACTTGTAAAACCATTGTTGAACATTCACTAATAACCAGATTCAGGAAAGGCCTCTGCATGTCATTTTAAAAACTATTTGTGTCCCCTGTCTTCAGCTTGGAAATGGAAAAGGCAAGGAATGGCCATTTTGTTCCCCTTCTGTGAGACTCTGCCAAGAGCACACTGTGTCACGTGCTTACCCTGTGCAAGGCATGGATAGTATTCTTCAAAGGGAGCGATGGTTGTACTTATTAAAGTGAAGGAACACAGATTGCTAAGCTGGGATTCAAAGCACGTTAAGGAAACCCAGCGATCATACCTGCCCCTCCAGTCCTCCCCAGTTAGGAATAATTACCAAAGACCAGGGTGTCTACCTTCCATCTAAGCATTAAAATTCTTATTAAAGTGCCTTGAGCATCAGCAAGACTGCCCTGGGAAATGAGCCAAATTGGCCATGACACTTCTCTTGAAGACTTTTTAAAAACGGACCAAGTTAATGAAGCTATTAACAGCTTCCTCTTGACATACACTAAATAAAAATAACCAAAGCAAACCCACATTTAGCCTGGGTCACACAGAAGTGAGTTCCAGCTTGGAAAACCCATCTCAACACAACCAAAACCAGCCAACCAAACAATAATGGCTGAGTTGGCCTGAGATGGGAACGATTCGCTAGCAGATTGCACTCAACAGGGCAGGCTAAGACACATCCAGAGATGCTCCACTGTGAAGAGGACAGTACCTGTTCTGGGCATGAGTCTCTGCCTGGCCTGTCACCTGTCCCAAGGATTCCTCTTCTTGCTTCTGACGCAGCCTTTCCTGCCGGGCACGGCGACGCCGTTCCCTGGCAGCCTCTTCCTCGTCATCATCATTCCGCTGATAGGCGATTCTGCAACATCATAAACACAGGCTCCTGAGCACACTAGCTGACAAGTGTTGTCATCAACGTCCTGGCCATACAGCCTTGAATGGCTACTAATGAGCCAGGTTCTAAAAAGGATGGTTCACTTTCTCAAGTTTGGAGACCCAATCATCTTTTTTTTTGTTTGTTTGTTTTTTTCCAATCTTTTTAGAATTTGAAGAGCACTCATCCAGTGACTCAGGGAATAATTTACATTGACCAAATAAACCAGAACATCTGCACCAAAGCAGGCTGCCTTTGGAGACTGTGGGTTAGCATATTTGGACTTCTGCACTGAGCTGATTAGCGCACACAAGATTTAGAAGTGGAAATAGCAGGAACTGAGCCCAAATGATCAAAAGACATATTAGAAAGGATTCAGAACATTGTGTGAACTAGAGCCAGCACTGTCACAAAGATTAGAAAAGAACCTGATTACCGTTACTATCACACCAAGATTCTGGTGCCAGTAAGCCAAAGTTGTTCACTAAAACTGAGCACAATGACTATTTTCTTTGGTCAGATTTTGTTATACCAAGGTTTGTGTGTGTGTGTGTGTGTGTGTGTGTGTGTGTGTGTCACTGACCATTGGTGGGTGGCTTCACAGTACAGGCATTGTGAGAGTGTGTCAGACACCTCAAAGGACCCATCTTGTTCACAAAACATGTGTTAGTATTCCGCCACGCATATGGCGTGCTGTCTGTGCATGTATGTGTGTCTTCATGTGCATTTTCCATGCGCACATGCGTGCGCATGTATATAGAGGCCCCAGGGCTGATGTCAGGGGTCTGCCTTGATTGCTTCCCACCTTATTCATTGAACAGAGCCTCTTAGTTGAACCGAGAGTTCACCCATGGCCAGCTAGCTAACCAGCTGCAGGCTGGAATTACAGGTGGGTCACTGTGTCCAACTACACTTATGTAGGCTCAGAACCGTCGTCTTCTTCCTCATGTGGTGGGAGTTCTAACCCCCGAGAAATCTCCCCAGAGCAAGAGATGTCCCTAAGTGGGCACAAACTTTTAATTTCTATGCAATTACAAAGACAAATTCGTTTTCAAATTAAAGAAAATAAAACGTCAGAACCATATGCAAACAGTCCATCATATACAACTGGTAGTAGTGTGTTCATTTTATATTTACAAACCAGGCATATGTAGGCTTAGATCTAGTACTTCTATCCACACCATATTTTTACTTCAGCAATACTATGAATATTAAAATGTCTGAAGGTTTGTTATTTGCTTTTTTTGTTACTTCAAAAGATCTAACTTATACTTTAAAATCTGCTAGTGTGTCAAATGTCAATATAAATAAAGTGTGAATGTGTTCCGTCTATATATTTATTATATATTCTATTAAATTGTCTGGTAATTTGCCACAAGTATGGAAGGAAAAATGGCATGGCAGAATTAGTGTGTGATTAGAGTAATAGTCAGAAAAGTTGGCTTTTAGAGCTGATCTCTTAGGAATATTTGGCCCTTTGTTCAACCCGTCATAAGTTTCCTTGTACCCCAGACTTGCAGTCAAATAGAAATTAATGGCGGTTACAGCAGAGCACAGTAAAGTGTGGCACCTTGCTCGTTGGCAGAAAAGTTCAGCTAAGGAGAGGCCTTGTGGGGAAAGAGGAGTTCAATTTTAGACGTGCTGAGGTGAGGGACAGCATGGCACCATACAAGTGTTCCCTTCTAATTCAGTTATGGTGTCTTTTTCAGGAGAGAGCCCTCCCCAGTGGTTTATTTAACTGTCGGGTTCTTGGCCTTGTATTTCTCTGGCTTGTTTCTCAGTGGACCTCTCTAGCCGCAGCAGAGAGAAGAGTACTTAACAACTGCTTCTCAAGCTAGTCAAAGAGGAATTCTCCATTTGTTCTCTCCATCTCGGGGTCGGCCGCGGAAGCGCCATCTGTTTAGGGACCTTCTGAGACAGGCAGGGCACGCGAAAGGTACACACAGGGCTTCCCCACGCTACAGGCCAAACTCTCTCTCTTGTAAAGCCATCAAATTCAAGCCAGTGTTTCCCGGGATATTTGAGATGTCATCACCTTCCTCCTCCCGCCTACTCTGTGACCTTTGGGCACTGACAGCATTTAGCTGGGAGATAAACTGGTTTTGCTGCCATGGCAGGGTCACAGCCAGCCTTCCTTCCTCTTGGAATTTTTCACTGGAGGAGTGACATGAGCAAACGTACCATCTCCACCGTCTTTTCTAATTCTTCCTGCTAACTGTAACTTAAGATCTGTGGGCAACCCACTAGCTGTTTGTAGACGCCCTTCTGGGATACAGTTACCAGAGATTGCTTGGGAATGATCACTAATTGTCACTAATAAAATAAGGAATTAAAGTTGTCTACCAGCTTAAAACAACAACAAAAGAACCATCATGGTTTCCTGCTATTTTCGATCCTAACTGGCCCTGTCTCGGGAGGAAGAACATATGGGGGGGGGGCGAGGCAGGTGGTACACTAGGTAAACGCCACATGCATGCAAACACTGGTGTTAACAATCCTCAGCGCCATATAAACACTGAGACGGGAATGGCCAGAGCAAGCTAACTCGATTAGCTGGGTCAGTGGGCTCAGGGTTCATCCCTGCCTCAGTTTACAAGGTGGAGAGTGACCGCAGAAAACATCGACATCAGTGTGGTCTCTTTGTACACACACATGAACATACATGCACACATACACCACAGACACACAGAGCCAAAAAAGAATGTAGCAGTTGGCTTTATAAGTGAACCTGTGTGGGTGACAAATTCTTCAACCGTGAGACTCCTACACCGGCCCGCAGAGAGCCAAGTAATCTATGGCTTCTTAAAGCAGCCCGTCTTTTATACTCCCACCACTGACTTCTTTCTTTTCTTTGGGGGCAGGGGAAGTTGGAGGTTTTGAGAGAGTGTCTCATTATGTAGCCCTGGCTGTCCTGGAACTCACTCTGTACACCAGACTGGCCTCAAACTCACAGAGATCCACTTGCTTTCGCTTCCCAAGGGTTGGGAATTAAAAATGTGTGCTACAACATCCAGATAGGATTTATTTTTCTTATTGGACAAAAAAAGAAAAAACAAACAAACAAACAAAAAAACCTCAGTGGTTTGCTCTTCCGAGTCTGAAAGCAATAGACTCCTGTTATGTTTTAGAACAAGGCAAAGACTTAATGTATAAAGACAAAAATGGAATCAGCTGCTTAGCATCATGTCAACTAAGCTCTGACATGGTGCAAATTTGATGCGTTCTATACATATGTCCCTGGGTACGGAGAGATACACATCTTTAACAAAGTGGGGTCATGCTATATGTATTAGTTCACAAATGGTTCCTTTAATTAAACTTAGTCTTGGCTATATTTTAACACATCCACAAACTACGTCACTGAAAACAGTATTTTATATCTACACACACCAGATGGTAATTATGCAGATATACTACAACGGCAATATTTTTCCTGGTGGTTATTAAATATGTTTCTCCAATTTTATGTCCTTGTAAGCAGTGGTACGTACAAGTCCTCAGAAGTTAGAAGTTCTGTGTTTACGAAGTTGAGGACACTTTATTTGGAAGCTTTTGATGCACTGATAAACTGGCCTCCAGAAAGGTAGTATAATTCCAGTGACGTGTGGGCACGCCCTCTTGACCACCACACAGAATTTGTCCGGAAAGACAAAGACACAGCATCCTTTCTACACCCGCAATAGCAGCAGCTCTGTTCCATGTTCAAGACAGAATGCTAGCATCTCTGATTTTCCACACATCTGCCTTAACCTTGTTTGAAATGCTGCTGACTAACAAAATTCCTGTCTAACCAGATGGTCAGAGAGGCATGACAACCCACTTTTACTTCCATGGAATTTCGGCAGATTCCAGTCTTAACCAATCCACTTGTGTCCACGGCACATAAGCAACCACTTTCCCCCCAGATAATTTGGGAGCCTGGTGGGATCCTGCCATCCTCTGAACCAACTCAGAAGGGCTCAACTTTCATACAGTTTTAATCAAAGCATTTCATTGTGATTTAAAAAAAATTAAAAAAAAAAAACAAAACAAAACTGGCAATCCCCAAGTCTACCAAGAGACACGCTGTTAAACATCTGGAGTCCATGAGCTCCTGAGCCAGGCTGGCTCTGAAAAGGTGTACAATGGAGTGTTCAGCCTTGTTTCTTGGCAATCCCTTTGCTCGTCTGGCCTCACAAACACCTGGAGATCTGAAAGACCTTTTCAGTGAAAGGTCAGTGTTGCTAAGAGCAAAATGACTCAGCAGGTATTTGGGACAAAGAGAGGGGACCTACCACGTACTCACACATAATACTTACAAACGAGTGCAAGCAATCCCCAAAGTTCATAATAATTACATGCTATCGACATGTGTGTCCACAGCATGAAAGAGTGAAGGGCCAGTGTGTCTTCCGTTCTCAGAACTGTTGCTTAAAGGCCCCGCTGTTACTGGATAAGAAAACTCAGATCTACATGCCAGGAAAACTCATTCATAACGCCTGGCTGTTCCAAGAGATCCATCAACTTCAAGTCTCTAAGGCCAGAACTCCTGCTGGCTGCCTCTGTATATCACCTTGTTAAATTCTGGGCCTTTCAGATGGAAAAGTTCAAACAAATAAAATCCTTGCAAACATGATGAACAGGGAAATCACTGGGGATTCGGTTTCTTTGTTATCAGTCTGTCAAGGGCTAAACCTGTACCAGAGGAGAGAAAGGGGCCACAGAGGTGTCTTCAGCAACACATTCCCTGTAGCCTTGCTTCTGTGTTCCCTTTCTTCCACAGTCACCATTTAATTGCTCGTGGCTTGCACAACATGGAGGAAATTTCCTATCACAGGACAGTCTGGGTCTAGTGGTACACATTGCCGTCCCAGGTACTTGGGAGGCTGAAGTGGGATTCTATTGTGGGATTATACCAGCCTGGGCAACTAATTCAGGTGTGGTCTCAAAATAAAAATGGAAGGGAAATGGCTAGGGATGTAGCTCAGTGGTAAAGTGCTTAACCC